GCCATCGCAGAGCAGACGCGGTCAGAGACAATAAGTGTGGCTGTGTGCCAATCCGTCTTTATTTATGGAAACTTATATTTGAATTTCATATCACTTTCTGGTGTCATAAAAGATTACTCTTCTTTTGTGGGTTTTTTTTTCAACTTTTAAAAGTTTAAGATGCCGTTGTTAGGTCACAGTCCATACAGAACCAGTGGGGGACTGAATTTAGGCTGTTGGGTTTTCACTTCTCAATGTATCTTGGAGTATTTGTCCCATGGATGGAAGGGAGCTGCTTTTTTCTGTTTTGAGGGCATATGACTTCATCCTGTGGAGTATCCCAGTTTGTTTAACCAATCTCCTGTGAAGGACACTTAAGTTGTTTCTATTCTTTACAAAATATTTTGCTATTACAAAATAGAACTGCTGTGAATAATCTTGTTCATCCATCATGTTGGACATTTACAAGTGTCCCTAGAGGTGGAGCTTGGGATGTGGGTTCAGGGGTGTGTGTGTGGGTGGGTATGTGTGTGTGTGTGTGTGTGTGTGTGTGTGAGAGAGAGAGAGAGAGAGAGAGAGAGAGAGAGAGAGAGAGAGAGAGAGAGAGATTTATTGAAGGATGCTAGAGAGGAAGGGAAGCAGAATGGAAAGGTGGAAAGAGCAAGCAAATACTGGCCCCGGAAAAACCGAAGGTGGAGCTTCAAGGGCTGCCCTACCTTGAGGCAAGGGGCTAGACTTGTGAACTTCTGGTTGCGGTAGACTTTGGGCTCCTAGTCATGGTGGCCAGAGGAGCTTGTTAGATTGTTCCATCAGCCAAGAGCATGATTCAGAAGAGACGTGGGTGTGGTTGTGCGAGGTGGGGATCTCCAGCTGCGAACGGGACTTGGGCAGGGGTCAGCAGCCTACGACGCTAGGTGAGTCTGCAGCATAGAAAGTGAAACTGCAAGGGCAAAGCAGAGATGCATGTGGGTAGACATTGCCAAACTGCTCTCCATAAGAACAATGTCAGTTTACATCTTACCACCAACATCTGATATGTCTGTTTCTGCACAAGCTCACCACATTAATCTATTTTTAAACTTTTGGATTTTTTGCTAATCTTATAGATCAAAAAAAAAAAAAAAAGTTGTGTCCAAATGGTTTTCATTTGCGTGTCTCTTAGAATGAGAAAGGTTGGGCATAGTTTCATGTAGTTAAGAAATATGTATTTTTTGATATGAACTCTTTGTCCATACCCTTTGCTGATGTTTCTTTATCCATTCCATTTCTGGGTGCTCCTTATATCGAGGAGGTTGGTCCTTTGTCTGGGATATGATGTGAGTTGCACATATTCCTCCCATTTTGTTATGTGTCTTTTTACTTTTTTTTAAGCTGGTTTTGGTCAAGCTGAGGTTTTCAACCAGAGGATGGTGTGGACAAGTAAATGATACATTATGTAAAACACACAGTGTGATGCCCACTGCCTGGGGGGCACAGAATGGAAGTTCTTCCCTGCCCCTCTCTACTCTCCCCTTCTGGCTTCATCCAACTGTGCTCGTTATTCTTCTTTAGATGTTCTTCCCTCTTCCAGGCATTATCTTATGTTGTTTTTCTTAACTGGAATGTCTTTGTCCTCATTTGGACTGTGAAACTCCTACCCATCCCTTAAACTGCAGCTCAGATGTCATGGCTCTCTGACAGCTGAGCTCCTGTACCCCCTCAGCCATCATAATCCACATGGAGTCCTAGTGATTTACACATATCTGCTGAGCCTCAGTTTCCTTATCTATAAAATGGGGTTGTTAGAAGGAATCATTTTTTAAAAACAAAATGATGCCTGTTTATTGTTGTAAAATGCCCCAAATATAGAAACCTATAAAGTTTAAAACAGTAGTTACACAGGCATGCTCATTTCCAGTGGGGTTTCACTGTTTACAGATCCTTCCAGACCTTTCCTAAGCCTGTGTAAATATCTATAAGGGTAAATTTTTCTTAAAATGGAAGCAAACTATCTGTCTAGTCTGTAACTTAATTTATTCACTCAATAAAATGACATATATAAGACAACGCATTTAAAGCACCCAACTCTGTGCCCAATAAATGTAACTATGACTTGCTATCTCTCTGGATTGTTCCAGGGAAGCACCTTATAGTGATGTTTTAAACCTTCTATTTCATAAGAACATGTATCAAACACAATCATTTGGAAGCCCAATTATGCATGAGAGTGGAGCTCCTGGGCTAGGGTGCTCCTGGATGGGGTGGCAGAGCCCCTCACCCTCCAATCTCCACCTCACTGTGCGCTGATGGGATGTTGGTGCACCATTCTGCTAGTGTGGGGCAGAGCCCACCTATGCCAGGACAAATCCTGTCTTCTCTCCTCTGCACAGCCAGGTTCTGCCTACAGCTAGGAGAAGCACACAGTTGTTTGTTTTTTCTTCTCTGCAAAATGAATCACTGATTTGAACTCAAGGATCTTGGTAGTTGGCACTGAGTCCTACTTAGAGAAACAAGGACAGCAACAGTAACAACAGTGGGACCGAACTCAGAAAGAACCCTCTGACCATCGATCTTCACCTGATTTGAGAGCTCTTTGTCAGGGTCCAGTGCAGGGGTACCAAGTGTTCCCTTTGCCCCTCTAGGGTGCTTTGTGAAGCTGGCTCTAAGCTGAGCGAAGGCACCAGCCTGGTCCCATCAGGAGCAGACTCCTCCCGACCCACCAGCTTGCCCACCTCCCTCTCAGAAGCCATTGGAAGGATTGTGTTTCTGCTGCTGTTAGTTGTACTGAACTTTCGCTGGAATGAGGAGTGGGCGCTTGTGGTTTGGCATCCCAATTCTGGCCTATTACAGTTCCCAGAGTTTCTGAGGCGGCTAACAGAAACTCTCTCCCACTTTAAACCCCAAAGTAGGGTGAAGTGTGGTTGAGGACTGTTGGGGTGAGGTTTGGCTCTTAGCACTGAAGGAAGAGCAGCATTGAAGCCCACGGGAGCCAAACCCTGAGCCAAGAGGGCTGGGGAAGGACTGAGGTTCCCAGGGATGTATGGGGGTAGCCAAGCCCTGACATCTTCTGGTTTGGCTTCTCCAGGAAAAGATAAGAGGGCGCTTCTCATGGCCTGGACACTGAGGGCAGATAGAACTGGAATAGGGATGGTGGCTGGAGAAGGGCACAGGATCTTATCCAACTTGGGCAAGGAATCCAGTGGCAAGGTTAGGGGTACAAATTACAGAGGTAGGAGCATCCCAGGCCTCAGCTGAGACTTCTGGGGTGAGTTTCCATCAAGACTCTAGGCTGGCTTGTTGGATAGCACAGGAGTCAGGGAACTCTGGTTGGAATCCTGGGGTCTCATTTTACCTGTAAGATAACCTTGGGCCAGTAATGATTCTTTCAGCTCAGTTTCCACAGTGTGCTACAGCTGCCACCATCCAGACACAGTCCTGTATACAGTGGTGCATATACATCACGAGGCTGCTGGTAGAATAGCCTGCCCAACAATAAATACATGAAGAATGTGTTCAAAATGACTAGACAGGGGCCTCCCTGGTGGTGCAAGGGGTTAAACATGAGCACTAGGAAGCTATCCACAACTACTGAAGCATAAGTTCAATCCCCAGCCAGGGAAGTGACCCACACAGCGCAGCAGACCTCTCCTGTCTTGCCTGCTGCTCCCCTCAGCAGTGCATTTCAGTCAATCTGCCTGTTCTGCTCCCCACTTTGTCTTTGGTGAATCCTCTCATCCCTTCCCCTTGCACCTCTAGCCTGTACCCCAGCTCTTGTATGCATAAATAAATAAATAAAGCCAAAATGACTAGACAAACCTCCAATAGCTAAGATAGTCAAGGACATGAGCAGAAAGATTTCGCAAGTGGTAAACAGATATAGAAAGAAAATTTCAGCCCTAGAGGTCATTAAAAAGTAATAAAAGCAACCATTTTGTGCTTATTCAGTTAGCAAAGAACAAAAAAATAATAATGCTCTGTGCTGGCAAGGTAGATTTCTGAGTGGTACATGTACAGATTTTATGCAAGTCTTTCAGTGAAAGCCACACAGTGCTCTGTAACTATAGTCATGTAATATTTGTAACCTTTGATGCAGTCAATGGCAATAATCCTAAAATAATAGTCCTTTTCAAAATGTTTATTGTAAGAATTTTCCAAACATGAAGAATAAATTAGAACACTGTAACGAATCTCCCTCTACTAAAGGAATGAATGTTTTAAGAGGAAAAAATCACATGAGTAAGGATGTCCAGTTAAAAATTAAACACAATCTAAATATGTAACAGGAGAATGTCTGAATAAATGAATTTGTTCAGCTGGGTTATCGTGTAACAATGAAGACGGTAAATACGATCATATGGAATATATAGCCTGCGATCTAATGGTAAGGGAAAAGGCAGAATTTAAATTGTATCTATAGAGAATGACAATAATGTAAGAACATAAATTTGCACCAAAGTTGGAAGGAAATGTGCAAAAGCATTCACTGGGTTGGGGAATTCCTAACCAGAATTCATTTCTTTTTCCTTGAATACCGTTAATGTTATTTTTACAGTAAACATAGTGAGAGGGATATGCTAGGGTCTGCCCTGAATCAGTGGGTGAACATATTTGTTGGCACCTATTCCACAGGTGAGATTGTATTAAGAAGTGGCTGGGATAGAAGTCAGTGTGGGGGCAGGGACTGGCCCATAAGCATCTCAAAGACTCTTAGAATGCTAGAGCTGCGTGGGGCTAGTCTAACACCCTCGTTTTGCAGTCTATGGCCCTGAGGCCCTGAGTAACTGAGTGACTTGCCCAGAATAACCCTGTAAAATCCTGGTTATTCCTCCCGCTAAACTAGTCATCTGGTCTTAGCACAGTCACCCCCAGCCTGAGGGTCCCTCCACTTTCCTGGATTTGGCTGTACATGAGTGGGGAGAAGGCAGCCAAAGAGCATGCTTCTAGTGCAGAGGAGGGGGAGGGCGGCTCAAGGAGGGCGGGCAGAGAGACTTGGCTTCCAGGGTGTAAGCCCCTACCTCCCCATGCCATGGTTGTCTCCACAGGTCCCTGAGTGGGCTCAGCCAGAGCCACTCCTCCCAGCAGCACGTGGGACTGTCCCCCACCATCCGACTTTTCCCGGCCTCTGCAACTAGTGGTCACCTGAGTTCCAATGCGCTGCCCTCGGGGCTGGGCCTGGAGCGAAGGGATGGTGCCCAGCGGGCAGCATATGTGGACTACTCGTCATCCCCCTGGGGTAAGGATGCCCTATCTTGGGGTCTTAGAAAAGCAGAACATCTGTCTCTGAGTCTCTGATGCTTCCTTCCCTCACCTTCATTGCTCCCTCCTCTCCCCTGGAGGGCTGAGCAGTCACCTTGTCTCTCTACTTCTGAGCAAATCAGCAGTTATCAAGCGCCTGTGTGGTACCAGCAGTCTCAAACCAGCTGGTGGTGACTTTGCCCCTCCGAGACCCTTAGACCTTACCTGCTGTTTTTCTGCCCCCTCTGTCCTCCCGTTCTGCCTTTACTTCCTTTATAACCAGCCGTGAACCATACCTCCTTGGCCCCAGTCCTGCTACCTTATCCTTCCTGCAAACCCCAGCCCTCCTGGACCAACCTGACCAGTTGCTTCCTCAGTACCTTCAGCTCGGCTCTGTATCCCAGAGAGAGAAGAGTCTCCCTGAGGGCTCACTGGGCACATTCTTGGTCACTGCCTGACCATCCTTCCCTGTGTGCCTGGACACTCTCTCTTTCTTTCATTCCTCAGAGCAACTACTCTAAGCTGTCTCCACCTTCCCAACTACTCTAAGCTGTCTCCACCTTCCCAACTACACTAAGCTGTCTCCACCTTCCCAAGTCCCAACCAGTGAGCATGTGGACATACTGCCACCTCCAGGGAGCCCTGTCCCTCCTGTATCTGCCCACTGCCCACCGCTTTCTCACCTATATCCAATGTCCGAGCATCTGAGCAGGTCCTCTTTCTAAAAGTAACCACTTTAAAAGGCGCAAATCGGTGGTTTTAGTACAGTCACAATTTTGTGAAATTGCCATCACTCTCGAATTCTAGAACATTCTCATCACTCCAAAAAGCAACTCCACACCCTTTAAGCAGTTACTCCCTAGTCTTCCTTTCCTCAGTCCCTGGCCCCACAAATCTATGTTCTGTCTCTGTAGATTTACGTGTCCTGGACAGTTCTTGTAAATGGAATCCTACAACACGTGGCCTTTTGTGTCTGCCTCTATCACTTAGTGTAATGTTTTTGAGGTTGATCCATGTTGTAGCGCAGATTAGTACGCCACCCCTTTTTATAGTTGGCTCTCTTCTTGTCTCAGGCACATGCCTCGTTTTTCCTGGTTTCCTCTGGACACTTGTCTGTCCTCTTCCCCTTCAACCTGTCTCCCTCACTCAGCCCTTTCTTTTCTGCATATACTATTGCTTATAGCTCTCTCTGTCTCTCTGTCTCTGTCTTTCTCTCTGTCTTTCTCTCTCTCTTTCTCTCTCTCTCTCTCTCTCTCTCTCTCTCTCACACACACACACATGCACACACACACTTCTCTTCCCCTGTGGCTTCCTCTCTCATTCCCTGCTTTGGTCAGACTTCCTGACCACACAGGCCACAGATACTTTTTATACTTCCTTCCTGGCTGGAAAGCTCAGTTGGCTCCCTCTTGCATCTTTCTTTCCTTCACAAAGAGAATATGGCTCCAGACACTTCTGGTCAGCAAATATGTGGGGTTTTTCTCCCACACCAAGCAATTCTCTGAGACACCAGCTGAGTGTCCTACAGTTTAACCCAGTTATGACTCCATCTACTTAGAGACAACATCAGATCCCACAGGCTGAGGGCTTAGTCCCATCAGACAGCGCTGACCCCACTTCAGAAGCCGTTAGCAAGTAGCAGGAGACTCTGGTAGGCCCCACAACTTCTGTCTGATTTGGCTCCCCTGACCCCCACCTTGGATTCCATTAATTTGCTAGAGCAGCTCACAGGACTCAGGGGAAACACATTTACCAGCTTATAAAAGGACATGGTTCAGGACCCAGATGAACAGCCAGAGGGAGCGATGCACAGGGCTGGTCTGGGAGGGCCCAAGGGGCAGGAGCCTCTGTCCCTGCGGAGCTGGGGTGCACCAACCTCCAGGTACGTAGATTTATTTGCCTACCTGAAGCTCTCTGAACCCCGTATCATTGGGGTTTTGTGGAGGCTTCCTCACCCGGGCATGTTTCATTATGAAGGCCCTTTCCAGCTCTTCTCTCACGCTTCTGTCTATGGCTTAGTCTTTCTGGCCCATCATGAGTCACCTCATTAGAACAAAGCATGCCTCTGGTGTTCTTTCTAGGAAATGACAAGGATTTCAGGACCTCTGTGCCAGGAACTGGGGCAGAGACCAGTATAAGTATTTTCTGTCACCTCACACCTCCGCAACTCTCTGCCCTCTGGCTTCCCTCGGGGTCCCTGTCCTGCGTGAATGCCCCTTGTTTGTAGTTCTACTGCCTCATGGTGTTAAATGAAGTGACCTCCGTTCATACTACTATAGTGACCTCCCAGCTGTTCACCCCAACCCCTCCATGCATCCTGCACGCTGCTAGGAGAACATTATTTTCCTCCCTCCCTCCCCCCCACCGATGCACACACATTTCCTCTTGATTTCTTACTGAAAATCTCCAATGGCTTCCCCACTACAACCAAATAAAGCAGCCAGTCCTTGTTCTGGTAACCAGGGTCCTGGAAACCTAACCCTAATAATCTTTTGTGCTTTATCATCCTCTACCCGCCTTAGAAAATTCTCCACTCTGGCAAGCCAGAGTGTTCTGTTTTCTGCCCTTTGGGGTCAAAGCCCAGCCATAGCACTTGCTTGTCGTGTAATTTGGGGTTACAGGACCTTCTCTGGGCCTCAGTTTCCTGACCTGTGAAATAGGAATGTTTCTTTGGACATAGCAACATTGCCAGTATTCAACAACTTTGACCTATAAAAATGGTGATTCCAAACAGTTCAACCTAAAAGGACACTCACTCAGGAAGACTGAGAAATAATGTGCCTAAAGCCTGAGCATGTGGCTGGCATATTGGTTTTTCTCAATAAACGCTGGATTGCAAGCTGCCCAAAAGTATTACTCTGCCCCTACAATGGGCCTCACTACCTACTAGGGATTAGCAAATCCCCTTGGGATGGATTCATTCCCTGGGCCCATGAGCCTTTCTAACCAGCCTCTAGAGGTCATAGCTGTGCCTCTTAGCCCTGCCCCCTGGACCCAAGCCCTCTCTCTGCAGGACTGAACCTCACCGAGAAAATCAAGAAGATCAAGATTGTCTTCACTCCCACCATCTGCAAGCAGACCTGTGCCCACGGACACTGTTCCAACAGCTGTGAGCGTGGTGACACCACCACCCTGTACAGCCAGGGTGGCCATGGCCATGACCCCAAGTCTGGTTTCCGCATCTGTGAGTCCCCACTCCTGAGATGGCTCCTGGCTGGCCCTGGCGGGATGGTGGTGGCAGAGGGACAGGCCTGTCGGGCTGGAGCCCAGCTCCTCTGCAGGAAGGAAGCCACTGCTCTCATCCTGTGATCCTGTGAGTTGTCCCCAGTCACACAGAAAGCTGAGGCCTCAGCCAGCTTTGTCATGCTTGTCTGTGTGACCCCAGGCAAGTCACATAACCTCTCATAGCCCAAGTTTCCTCCACAGAGAAGAGAGGGAGTTAGTAACACCACCACCCCCATCTCCCAGGTTAGCTTGGTGTCTAGGAAAGGCTTTTGAAAAAGATGAGGGCTGGTTATTGCTTTTTTCTTCTCCCGGGCCTCTGGAAAGTCCCTGTGTTTCAGGGGGCACTGGGCTCCCCAAGCCATCCAGACCTGAAGTCCTGCTTCCTGCTTCTCTATTGTCACCGCTGGCCATGTGGAGGGTGCTGCTATGTTCCTCCACTGCCAGTGACCTTGAGGTCGATGCTGTAGATTTCTGCCAGATCCCTTGCCTGAATGGAGGCCGCTGCATCGGCAGGGATGAGTGCTGGTGCCCCACCAACTCCACCGGGAAGTTCTGCCATCTGCCTGTGCCGAAGCTGGACCCCGAGCCTTCTGAAAGGGGTTCCCACCACAGGGGCGCACTGGGAGGCCCCTTGAGGCAGTCCACCTTCACACTGCCCCTCTCCAACCAGCTGGGTGAGTGCGGGGCTGGGGTGGTGGTGGGTGAGCAGAAGGGTGGGTGAAGGAATCTGGCAGGAGGGCACAGGAGCTGTTCTAGATCCTTCCTTCACACTCAATCCTCCCTCCTGTCAGGGCTCAGTTTCATTCCCAAAACGTCTCTGCCCTTCCATCTGAATTCAGCCATGTCCTGTGGCCCTCTCCCCTTCCTGAGAGCTATGGGTGAGACAAGAGAAGAAGGGCAGTGCCCTGCCTCCAAGGAACCTGGGTAATAAAAGAAGGGTGGTTAGGAAAGAGCAACGTCCTGTGACATTTCATGTCCCCTGCCTGCCATCGTTAGGTGCCAGCCTTCAGTTCAGTCTCAAATAATGGGCAGTTTTGGGCCCAAGCTGAAGGAGGGGATTGCACTGCAGAGAGAATGAAGGCCTGGAGGTGGGAACAGGACGGTCAACTGGCTAAACTCAGGGCCTGTCCTGGGCCTAGGGGAGGAGGGATGCTAGATTGGTTTGGAAGTTGACAATGTATTAATAATTTGGACCCTGAAAGGCGGGAAGTGAGAAGCTAGTGATGCATCCTGTGTTCGCTGGGAAACTGTTCTGGCGTTGGTTTGAATGGAGAGTGAAGAAATGGAAAGAGAGTTTTAAGGAGACACTCAGGCAGAGGGTGGGGTTCTGTTTCCTGCTCTGATCCCAGTCCCTGTGCCCAGCCTCTGTGAACCCCTCCTTGGTGAAGGTGCACATCAACCACCCGCCTGAAGCCTCCGTGCAGGTGCACCAGGTGGCAAGGGTGCGGGGCGAGGCCGAGGCCCCAGAGGAGAACAGCGTGGAGACCAGACCCCCACCCAGGCTCCCTGCCGGCCGTCGCCACAGCCACTGGGACAGCAACAGGATTCCTGTTCAGGCCGGAGAGGCCCCTCAACCACCTCCCCCAGTGGCACCCAGGCCTCAGGGACTGCTGGGCCGGTGTTACCTGAATGCTGTGAATGGACAGGTGAGAACGCAGCGCCTGCCTCAGCCCTGGAGGCTATCACCCCTACCCCCCCAATCCGTCACACACACTCCCCCCTCTGCTCTGCCCCTTCTCCTTCTAAGGAGTGTGTTTGCAGATTCTCCCATTCCCCAGTGGGAAAGCTCAGGACATAAAATTGCCTAAGTACGGGGAGGCTGGGCTGTCCTACCTGGGCTCCACCGGGTACCTGTCAGCACCAGGCACATGTGGTGTGCATGTGGTGTGCACATGCAAGGCACACCAGGCACATGTCCCTCCCTTCGGGAGGGACACCAGTGTCCTTAGGTCCCATTAAATCCTGCGTTCCCCTGGAGCTGAGTCTAGGATTTCCTGGTGCATGGACAGGAGGTCTATTATCTGGTGAGGAGTTTGGTATTCAGGTAAGATGGGACCACAGCAATGTGGGATTACCAAATGCAGTTAAAACCCCAAAGCACTGGGGGCAAAAGATGAGAGACACCCACAAAAGTCACCCACAGTCTGGTGGGAAAGCAGATGAGATTTTCTGAGTCCAGGCACCTAAAAATAGGGGCTAAGCCAAGCCCAGGGTTGTTTTTCTTGGGTCTGCATTTGGTATTTCCAGAAACCCCTCCTAAGGTTAGGGAACTGGAGGCAGTAGGGGTGCCAAGAAGGACTGAGCCCCCAGACCCTCCTGACCTCTCAGCTTGTGGTGTCCCAGAGCCTAGGCCCTGCCCCCGGGGAAGGCCAGCACCATGGGTGGCCCTGGAGTTCCCTGGAGTGTGACCAAAGAAAGTCCATCTTTAGGGACCCCCGTATGCGGGCAGGGATGTGGAAGGGGACAGATGGCAGACCCACACAGAGTAGATCCTGTCTTGCTGGGGTGTCTGGCAGAGTGGGGGGCAGATTTCTCCACTTCTTTCTGTGACTTCAGCTAATCCTCTCCCCTCCTCCCTTGAGCGGGGGCAGCCTCTGGCAGGATGTGAGGATGGACTCCTGTCTCGGGCTCCCCGGACATCTCCGCAGAGCAGAGGAGGGAATGGGGGAACAGGGCAACACGTGTCCGCGGCTTCTTTTCCAGTGTGCCAACCCCCTGCTGGAGCTGACTGCCCAAGAGGATTGCTGTGGCAGTGTGGGGGCTTTCTGGGGCGTGACCTCGTGTGCCCCATGCCCACCCAGGCCAGGTGAGTGCTGGTGCCAGAGTCAAGGGTCATGAGGGATGCATCGTCAGAACCTGGCTCTGCTGTGGGGCACCCCCTCCCCCATCTCCTTCCAGGGCCTCAGAAGCCAGGCTGGTAGAGCAGGCCAGCGACCTGAGCCGCTTTCCAGATCTGCCTTGGGAGTGCCCTGATTGGCAGCCAAGGCTCCCCGTGGCTCAGACTTCTCAGCCCCTCTGGCAGGTGCAGCCTGGCTTACCTGCTCCACCTGATTTTCTGAGAGGCGTTCGAAAATCTGAAGGTTCACATATTAGGGGTCCCAGCCATACTCCCTTCCAGATACTCCCCTGCCCGGTACCAGGGACCCAGAAGTCTGCATTTGGTGGTTCAGTGTTTCCTTCATTCTCTCCTTGAAGGGCCCTTAAACCGCCTCCTCTCACCTCACCTCCTCTTTCCTGCTTTCCAATCTTTGAACCAGAATGTCCCAGAATGTCTTCAGCCTTAGAATTTGGGAAACCCAGGTCCCTGTCCTCTCGATGGGGAAAACCTAACACCTATTCGTTCATGCATCCATTCGGCAAATGAACGAGTCCCTACTTAAAGGCGGGCGCCTCGTGTGTGCCAAACACTGAGGTTTTGGGAGTGAGCCCAGCGCCGGTTCGTGCTGTTCTCAGAGTCATTGATCTTAGAGCTGGCGGGTGGGTGACGAGGCACCTGAGCCTGAGTGTGGCTTCGGCCTGCTTAGCTGGTCCCCAAGTTCTCACTCTCAGCCCTGGGCCTGGCATGTATGTCCCTTGCCTGTCAGCAGTCTACTTAGTGAATCAACTTTGTGGGGTCCTGGCACGGGATCCAAAGGTGGCGGGGCAGGCTCTTCCCAACTTCAGACTCAGCTGTGCATCAGTGACCACAGGTTCCAAACTAAAAATCAGTGTGGACGACTTCCCAGTGTGCTAGGATTTTGGGTGGAGCAGCAAGCTGGCAGGAACTTTCAGGCTTGAGTGCGTAACACAGAGCAGGTGCCAGTCTCAGCTCTGCTGGCTGACCTCTTATCTGACTCATCTCCTGTCTGCAAAGTAGAGACAGTAATGGTGCCAGCTTCACGGAGCGCTCTGGAGAGTAAGTGAGATGATGCATGTGCTTGACTGTTATTGTTAGAAAATATCCCTCCTAAAAGGGAAAAACTAAGGACCCACTGCCCCACAGGGAGGAGTGCAGCCAACTGCTCATCAGTGTCCCCTGTAGGCCAGAGATGTTCTTGCCACTTATTTCCTTGTTTGCCACTCTTGAGACTTTCTAACCCACATCAGCTCAGTCAACAAGTATGCACAGGGATGAGGCAGCCTGTAACGTGTCCTAGAGTTGCAGGCCCTGGATGGAGGTGGAGAATAAGGTAGAAATTGTTCCTCTCCTCTCCAGTTTATAGTCTTGAGTTTGGAGATGAAGCAGGGGGGCATAGACATAGTGGCATCAGAGAAAGTGTGCCAGTGCAGTGACTAGATCAGGGCTAAATGCCGTGAGGACACAGACAGAAGCACCAGAGCCGCTGATAGGTCCTGTAGCGCATTTCCATTTGTTCAAACAGTCCTTATAAAGATACAAATCTAGGAAGCCAATGATTCCCTTAGGTGTGGGACTTTCCTGCAGTGCACAGCCCACTCATCTAAATACTGTGGGACTTTCCTGCAGTGCACAGCCCACTCATCTAAATACTGTGGGATCTAAATCGTAGCTCAAACTGGTGCATCTTGTAGGAGGTGACATCCAGGATGAGATCTGTAGAATTATTTACTAGGCAAGTTAAAGAGATGGAGAAGAGCTTAGCAAGGAAATTGCATATGCAGGTGAGACCAAGAGAGTGAGCAACATTTCCTGGAGCAGAGCATACCCGAGGCTGAACCCTGGCTCCCTCCCTGTCCCAGGTGGCACCTCCGCCACCACCCCTGTGTTCAGCACATCTTAGCAAGCTGGGCTCCAGGCTGCAGACCCTGGAATGTCAAGCATTTCTGCACACCGAGCAAGAAATAACAAAGACCAGGGCAACGTAAACATTTAAAACACATTAAAGTGCAGCTGGGTATTGTACAGAGAAGGGGCAAGATGCTGGGGGACCTTGTTTGTGTTGACAGGGTGCCAAACACCTAACTCCATGCCTGGGCCTGGAGCCACGCTAGGGGATCTTTCTTTAAGTAGGCATGACAAGCAAGCAACTGATAAAGAATCAGAGAAAGAAAGGGCAAGCTACTCCGGTGGGTATAGGAATGGCTGGCAAGACAGGCAGAACTTTGGAGTTCTAGAGCATTCTCAGTTCCTGGGATTTTGCTCCTCTGAGCCTCTTTTTCTCCTCTGATTAAATTAAGGCTGTGCCCCTCAGAAAGGGCTTTTTTATTCCTAGAGAGGTGGTCCAACAGAGTTAAGGGGCGAGTGGAATAACAAAGTCAGCAGCTAGGGAGCCACATAATTTCATGGCTTCCCCTAAATCACCTTTGGCTTGTGAAGCTCCATGCTAGCCTGTCAAAGAATGCTGCTATTTCTGGGCCTCCCCCAGTATCGCAGGCGGTTGAACGCTGTGCTGTGAAGCTGTCTGCAGCCTCTGCAGCACCAGTTCAATCCCGGCTGGCCGGAGAAGGTTCCACATGGCGCGGCAGACCTCTCCTGCCTCACCCGCTGCTCCCCTCAGCAGTGTATTTCATCAGTCTGCCTGCTCCGTTCCCCAGTCTGTCTCTGGTAAATCCTCTCACCCTCCCACGCATCTGGCCTGTACCCTGGTTCTTGTATAAATAAATAAAATACAATCTTTTTTAAAAAAAAGAATGCTGCTATTTCTGACATAGGAAAAGACTGCTTTGAAGTCTCAGTTATATGGCACAGACAAAGCCCTTTTATTCCAGAAAAATTCCCCGGAGCTTCTTTCTCAGAGAGATGGCTCAGAGAATCAATCTAGGCCAGTACCTGGTTCCCCCTTCTGCCTTCACTCTAAGTGACAGATGCTGCTGACCTTCCAGGACTCAGCCTGAGCCATGTCTTCCTGTCCCCTTGGGGGTCCCGGCTCAGAGCTTCCGTAGTCTCCCTGACAGGGTCTGGAGAGAACACAGCACTTAAAAGCCACTTTGATTGAGACCACATTTTTGAGTCTTCATCTTAGACAGACATCTGGGTTGACTGGAAAGTTGGCCACTGCCCCATCTGGTTTGGCACTAACTGTGTCAACCCCAGGCCCTTTTGCTGGGGCAGCGGGGCTGGCGCACGGCTTGTGGCCCGCAGCGGTGGGCTCCAGCTGTTTGCCATGAGATCGTCTTTCCATTTGCCTGGCATGGGGTGAGTTCACCTCAGAGCCCAGGCTCCTCCTTGCATTTCCAGAGAGAGGTGATTCTCCTGCTCCCCCCCTTCAAGGAATACGGCATCTTCCCTCTTAAAAACAATCACAGCTGCCAGCTCCTGAACTTTCACATTATACTGGGCTCTTTACCAGCTTCATCTCATTTACTTGCCACAACCACCTGCAAGCTAAGGCTATTTACTGCCATTTGATGGATGAGGAAAACGTAGCTCAGAGAGGCTGAGGAACTTGTCCAAGGTCACACAGCTAGGACAGGAAGAACTAGAACCACATTGTGGTTTGAATCTCAGCTGACCAAGGATCTCCCTAATCATTCTGCGAAGGCCTGCACCTGCCTAAAGATGACAAAAACCGGGGTGCTGGACCAGAATTTAACAACCACGAGAGTGCACCCAGGGATGTGTTTCATGAGTCCGCGTGCAAGAAGCACAATGTCCCTCGGGTAGATTGGGGTTGAATAAACAGGCAGGCAGCCACCTGCAGCTCAGGGATACGAGTTAACAGAGAGGAGCTGAAAAAGTAGGTGGGAAAAGAGGCAAGTAGGTAGGGTTGTTTCGTAGGCCTGTTCTGTGTCGTTCTTTGGACGACAGAAGCTGATGTGTGGAAAGCAGAACTCAACTCAAAATGAGTACAAGGAATAACTTATTAAAAACAGCAGCTTCCCAGTGAAATAATGGGGTGAATTCCATGCCCGAGGAGTGTGCCTCCTAAGAACGGGTTTGTGGAAGGAGTTAGGGAAGGAAATTGATTTTCTGAGGGAATGGAGGTTTATGCAGATGTCTAGAAATTTATTTGAAGCCCTCAATGGAAAGCAAGCTTTGGGCTGGCTCACTTCTTACATCGCCCTTGCTGACGAGGAGTATTCCAGGCGTAGGTCTGTGCAGCGGCCATCACTAGCTCTGTATTGCAGATAAAACCGGACCTGAAACCCCAGGTTTGTGACCCCCGACCCCCGCTTCTGACACTAATCAGCTTCCCACGCCTCTTCGTGTGCTCTTGGCGAGAGCATTTTCTACACCCAAGGACTCCGGCTTGGGGGACAGCTGTGCTGGGGTGGGGCCCCTGCTCTCCAGGACTCTGGGTGAGACGCCCAGTCTCCTGCCCTAAAGAAATGGGATGTTCAGAATTCCACTGAAACAAAGCAGTGTCTCTGGCTCAAGGATGTGCTGAGAGCTCTTCCAAGGGACTCGAAGCCTCCGGGAATTGTGCTTCAGCTCAAGTCAGCACCCTCCCTGCCCCGGCTGGAGTGTGGTTCATTCGTGGCATCTCTGGCCTGGAGAGCTCCAGGGGGGGCTGGAGTGGCACCTGTCTGAGTCGGGGGTCTGACCAGCCCCTCGCCACCTCACTGTTTGTGGTGACCAAGGTGCCCGCAGTGGCTGTAGTGCTGCCTGGGAAAACAGACAAGCTCCTCTTGGGAGGGAAATTTCCATAATCATTGGGCAGACCCATAGGACTTCCCCCAGGAAAATTGAGAATAACAGACATGAGGATAATGTCAGTGACAGTAAGTGACAGCCTTGCGCTCAGAGTCGTGCATGCATGCATAGGGCTCGTAATAAGGAAGGCGATGTCACCCCCACTGTGCTGACAAGAAAACCAAGCCACAGAGAGGTTGAGTACCTGGCCCACATACGCCCAGCCATTGAGGGGTTCGGCCGGCTTGCTGGCTTGCTGTTCAGTGTTGCAGAGGGATGCTGGAAGAAAGAGAGGAAGGAAAGGAGGGGCTAAGGGAGGGAAGGAGGGGAACTGAGCCCCGGGAGCACCTCAGGGACCTTCCTGCATCGTGCTGTGATGTTTGTTGTTTAGTCAAGTCAAGCCTCACAGCACCCTACAAACTGAGTTTTTGTCCTCCCCCTCTACAGATGAAAAAATTACGACTGGCAGAGGTTAAGAAATAGGCCCCAGGAGACACAGCTAGTCAGAATGGAGCCAGGAGTTAGATGTGGGTGTCCCTGCCCCAGCACTCACACTCTTGACACTGCTCTGGGGGAGTAAACATTTCTCCAACTCACCACCTAAGCTTTGCAAACTGGGGATTCAGCCCCAGCCTCCTCACATACCCCTGTGCAATGAACTGAGTGCAAGTGTGTGTGTGTGTGTGTGTGTGTGTTTTTTCCCTGGGCAGTGGGATGTGTGGTGCGGGACCCTCCACATGTCCCTGCTGCACCCATCTGTCATCAAGGCTGAGATCGCAATGGCTTATAAACAGCCCTGTGGCCAGACATATGTCTCCACCATCTCCTCCCTGCGTTTTGTCATAGAGCCGGGGCCAAAACTGTCTCAAGCAATTAGTTAACCCCTGTTCAGGCTTCCTTGGGAGTCCCAGCAACCAGGGGGGAGAATTAGCAGTGCAGGGACAGGCTGAGACCAGGGTCTATGAGCAGGCCAGTGAGCAGGCCAAGATGCAGCAGGGAATTGACAGAAGGCCTGAGTCCCGGCCACGTAGCCCAGGCCTTTTACCAGGAAAGGCAAACACACCCACCCTGCCTGCTTCGTTTTACGATATGCAGGCTACTGGGGGTCGGGTTGAACTGGCCCTGGTGCTTTGGCTTCCTCAGGCCTCTGAATTCAATGGCAAGGTGTCAGCAATCACCCAAGTTTTTCCTGTGGGAATCCCAGCTTAGCCACTTCGTCTCTAGATCTCACAAATTCTCTTCTCTCAATGTTTTCACCCCTTGTTTTACCCTTGATCTGGCTGAGGGACCTTGAGGGCACTTCAGGTTCCGCTCTGTTTCTTTAATCTGTTCTGCGTGGCACAGTGGTGATGGCCCTGAGGGGCAGTTACCCAGCATCTGATGGGTTCTCTGACCTCCTTCTGGGGATTTCTGCCTTTGTTTTTTTTCTTCCCCATTAGCTCTCCTGATCCTTGGTGGAAAGAAAGAGAGAGGGTGTCCAGGAAGGGTGATGGACTTCAGATGGGCAGGTGTCTCCCAGAACCAGGGTTCTCAGCTAGACAACTCCTCAACTTGTCATGAATGCCTCCTTCACATACCTGAAGGCAGGTTCAGAACTTCTCCTCTACAGGCAGACTGCCGGGCTTCATAATCCAGCTCTGTCCACTAGCTGTGTGAGCTTGGCTATGCTGCCTGACCTCTCTGTGCCCAGTTTGCTCTGCCCTTCTCTCTTCCTTTCCACGCAGAAGTGGCCCAGAAGGAATGTGGTCTTCACAGCCAGAAGAGAGGCTTGTGTTCAACCCTGACTCAGTCCCTCCTAAGCTTCTCTTTCCTAGTCTGTAAAATGGGGATAGTGGCCCCCGCCTTGCAGGGTTAATGTTGTGAGAAACAGGCAATAATATGCACCAATGGCCAGGCAACCGCAAGTGCTGAACGGTGTCCCCTTGTTGCCACCCCCCTCCCCCACCCTTTCTCACCTCCGGGGCCTTACAGTGTTCTCCTTATGATGTTCTGCATCCGATCAGCCGGCTTTCCAAGTTTCCCCAAACAACTTCCTCTCTTTCCTCCTTCCTCCCTGTCCTCAGTTCATACCAGCAGGCCCCCTGCTAGGGGCACCCACATTTATATCCACGTCAGCATGTGGTTAATTAAGCTGGTCAAACAAAATCTTTGCAGTGGAATAGAATTTCCGTGGAACTTTTAATTGGAGCAGCGTGACCATCCCTTCTGCTTCATGAGAATTGCCAGCTCCATCTTGGTAAAGGAATCATCAGACTTCAAGATGAGTTACTCGTATGATTTTCAACCAAAGGATGACATTCCCCCTTTGCTGCCTTTGGCTGTGATAGCAGGTGGCGGTCCGCAGGGGCTACCTGCTGGAGCTTCCAACAAGGACGCATCAGCTGTCCCTTCAGAGTGACAGAGACACCTTCCCTGTTTCCCTGTCTTATTTACTGGGAAGTGTCTTTTTTAAGCATACTTCTCCCACCCTGTAAAGTTAACGGGAATGTTGTAAAGTCAAGGGAGGTGCGTATCAGCCCCAGCACTGAGGATGACTTCCACCATGATGCCGTTGGTTGCTGAAAACTGTCTCCATTTGCACACTTAAAAAACTTGAAAAATGGAATTTTCTAGCTTGTTTTGAATTTGTAAGAACTACTGACAACCTCAGGGAAGATGGAAACTTACTAGTCAAATTTCGAAAATAGTATCACCCAGTTAGCTGATGTGAGTGAAAACGAATGTCATAGTTTTATAAGCGCAAGCTGAGAGCTTCTCCGGTCCTACTCCCATCAGCTATGGCAGCACTCAGACCAAGGATTCAAGTGAACTGAATCCTTGTTTAGCTAGGTGTTTAAAAACAAATTAAACAATGTAGCGGTGTAAGACTTAACCACTAGGACAAGCTGGGTGGTGGACTCAGGAGTCCTCTCTGTATTACCTTTTTTAATTTTTTGCAATTTCTTAAAAACCTGTAATAATTTCAAAACAAAAAGTAAAAATACAAAAGCAAGAAAACCACTTGTTCAATTACATATTAGCATTGGTATAATATGTACAGCACATATAGTATTATGATTGCATATGTGTACAAACCATGTAGATACACAATTAGCATCACTTTTCTAAGAACAAGGTAGGCTGAGCGTAGCCTGGTGAGAACCAGGGCAGGGATTCAGGCCGATGAGGCACTCACTGAATGGGGAGATGGAGCCTCAGGGCTGCAGGTTGGGCTGTGCAGTGGACTGGACACCGGGACCACCTCCCAGCAAGGGTGACAGAGGAGCCCAAGGACCCTCAGTGAGATCTGTCTGTATCTTCACTCTTTAGCCTCCCCAGTGATTGAAAATGGCCAGCTGGAGTGTCCCCAGGGGTACAAGAGACTGAACCTCACTCACTGCCAGGGTAAGGATGACCGGGACCAGGGTTGGGCTTGGGGAAGGGACGTGACAGAGGCCCAATGATGCAGGGACACCCCCACCCACAGCCAGATGGGAAGAGCACCTGCCGGAGCCTGAGTGGTCTCTGTTGGGCACTTCTGAAGCCCAGCTTCGGAGAATTGTAGGGGCCACTGGTTCCCCTAAGCAGGTTGGGGGATAGTGATGGAGAGAGCCAAGAAAGGGCCTGGAGAATGAGCCATTCCCTGCTCCCATCTCGCCCATCCCCACCCCTACCTGGAGCAGGTGCCTGGGGCCCGAGGGCCTGGTGGGCAGTGGATGTGGACAGCGGTCTGTGTCTTTGCTCTTGTAGAGTAAGTGGGCTGGTCACATCTAACCTGTCCCGGTAGCCTCTCCCCTGGCTGGTTTCCCTGTCAGAACACTTCAGGGTTTTCTCAGGATCACAATGATGATGACCTCCTGGTCGACAGTCTTGTGAGGGCTCACACTTGGAAATTGGAAACTCTCTCATTGTCATCACTTTATTTCAAGAATGACCTTGAGGCTTTCTGTGCAGGCCTCCCCTGCACTGGGCCTGGGCGGGGAGGCCCCTTGCTCACCTTCTCCAACCCTGCAGATATCAACGAGTGCTTGGCCCTGGGCCTGTGCAAGGACTCAGAGTGTGTGAACACCAGGGGCAGCTACCTGTGCACCTGCAGGCCTGGCCTCATGCTGGATCCGTCGAGGAGTCGCTGTGTGTGTGAGTGCTGGCAAGGCCCAGGTGGGGGACACTGGGAGGCAAGATGGGACCTTTCCCCTGCGCCCCATCATCTCATGCCCAAGGCCCAGGGTCTGCTGCTCAGCCTGGAGTCTGGCCTAATGTACAAAAATTGTCCCCTTCTACTAGAAAGGAAATGGTTACTACCTCACTTTCGGCTGTGGGCATTTATTTGGGGGCTTTGAAGTTTGAATTAATGTTTTCTACTTTGTCTTTTCTCTAAGCATTTCTGTCACTTTGATTGCCTTCTTTACTTAGGGAGTGGGTGCACTGCTTCCGTTCTAACATCTGGCTGAGCTGTGAGCCGTGGCTGCCTCTTTCCACACCTGAACTTAGCAGCCTGGTCACTTAGCTACAGACCTTTCTTAAAGGGCATGTCCTTAGCGCTGCTGCTGGGCCCACGGCCTTTCCATGTCCTGTGAACCCCGCGGTTCTGACTGTGTCCCTGTGTCCTGGAATACATGCATGCCATGGATAGTGCTAGCTGCATGTACCTGCAAGGCCGGGCAGTTGCCCCTCCCCCAACCTCCCAAACACACACAGAAGGCAGAGCTAATGCCACAGCCCAGATGGGGATTTCTATGGGCAGGACAGCCTGACCAGAGCAAATAAAACTAGTCCTTACCGGCTTCTGTGAAATGGCAATCCAGGTCTGGTCAGCTTCTCCCAGCTCAGCAGAGGGCCCTGTGACCTGCCAAGCCCTAGTCTGCCAAACACCAGGTAGAAGGCTGGGGAGACCATGGGGTGAGCAAGACTGCAGCGCCACCCAGAGGGAGCATCCTATGTGAAGGGAGAGAGGAGATTGGACCCCAGTGGTTCTCAGAAAGACTTCGTGGTGACAGACATGCCATCAAGGCCTTGAGGGGTACAAAGCCACCTTTTCCCTCCAAACCCTCCCACTTAAGTTTCCTTTATCAGGCAGAAATGTTTAATGTCCAAGGTGGCTTATGTTTATTAATGTCCAAAAGTGACCCTTAATCCAGGGAAGCAGAGCGGCCTTAATGTTCTATGTTTTTCCTTCCTCTCCAGTGCTCCCCCCACCCCCAGCCTCCTCCCATGACTCACCTCTCTGTAAGTGAGAGGAGACAGATACAGAATTTCTTTTCCCTTCCTTTCTGAGTTCTGCCCTCCCTGCCACCTGACCTGGGTCAGTGGAGCAATATCAGAGCCCCTCTGGGCTGAGGCAGCCTCCTTATACCCCCAACTGGGTCACCTCCACCCTGGGAATCAAAGGGACAAGATATTCCCTACAGTATCCCAAGGCAAGTGGCTGCTGGAGGCAGAGAATGCCCGGAAGACCCAGGTTTGTGGACTGATCAACAATTTCCCATTATAGCATGTATTCTTGGAACAGGTACTTTCACCTACATTGCTGTGGAAGAAGGTCTATCAGTCAGGAGTCTTTGGGTTACAAGTGACAGAAATCCAACAGACACTGCCTTAAGCCATGATAATTAATTGGTCCATAAAACTAGGAAGTCCAGTCCAAGGGTAGGCAGGCCTTAGGCATGGCTCGATCCAGGTGCCCACAGTGCCTTTAGCATGTCCCTTCTTTTCCCTCTGTGTTGATTTCATAGTTCTTTCAAAGATGACCCCCAGACCCTCCAGGCCTACATCCTCCCAGTCTCACAAACTCAATTTAAAATACAGACAAATCAAAAGCACCTCTATTCAATAATTCAGGAGAAATCTCAAAGCTGAATTTTATCATTGGGCCTCCTTAGTCAAATGCTCATCCCCGACCCAATCACTGTCGCCAGAGGTATGGACTTACGCTTCTTTAGTCAGGAAACGGAGTAGCCTCCACGCCATTACATGGACAGAGAATGGGAAGGGGTGGATCTCATGGGGAAACCAAGGCGCTAATAACAAATATGGGGCCAAACATGCTGGGCAGGCAGAAACAGAAGTGTCTACCGCCCTGGGATTATCATCATCCTTATTTTATACAGAAGATGAGAAAGTCCAGGGACGTCATATAACCTGTGGTGGAATAGGGATTTGAACTTGGTCTGCTGAGTCCTGGGTCCTGACCAGGACTTCCCCAGGGTCATTTGCTCCTCAGCTTTGAGTGTTGTCCTCTTCACCCCACCCCTGACCCTCGACAGAGGGTAGTCTCTTCTGACTCAACACGGCTTCCTTATATTCCCTTGAGATTATTCACAAGAAAATAGTCTTTATTATTTACTAGAAGAGACAATGGGAGCAGTACTTATTGTCTAAACTCATAGCTCACACTCACTATGGGCCGCAGGATTTTGGCCCATGGACCGAGCCACCTGTCCATCTAGCCAATGAACATTTCAGAGCCACCGCACACCCCAGATACTGCAGGGTGCTCAGGTTACAGATGCCCACGACGGGGCCCTTGTCCTCAAAGTTCCTACCAGGGCTTTGTTTCTCAAGGGCCCTGTGGCCCTCAGGGCACACTGCTCCTGCTCAACTCCAGGCCCACCTCGGGTTTTGGGGAAACACACGTAAACTGAGTACCTGCAGACAAACAGGTGCATCTCCATTTCCTGCTTTCAGTTCTCCACGTGAGGGTGGGTGTCAAGGGGCACCTCCAGCTGGTGACATGAGAAGGTGCTGAAGGGTTCCACCCCTGCCATTCCTCTTCCTAACATCCTCGTGAGCGCTTGCAGGGCCCCCAGGCCCCCAGACTGAGATGCGGGCCAGGCCAGTCTGAGTGCACAGAGTCAGTGGTCCTGCCCCCACGCCCTCCCCCCAGGCTTTCCCCTCCCGTGGCCACTTGCCCACCCCCACCTGCCATGTCTGTTGCAGCGGACAAGGCCGTCTCCATGCAGCAGGGGCTCTGCTACCGGTCGCTGGGGCCTGGCACCTGCACCCTGCCTTTGGCCCAGCGGATCACCAAGCAGATATGCTGCTGCAGCCGAGTGGGCAAAGCATGGGGCAGCAAGTGTGAGAAATGCCCCCTGCCTGGCACAGGTAATCCTCTGTTCCCATCCCAGCTTTGGCCACCAAGGGGCATCTTCTAAGCCAGTGGCCATTTTCCCCACCTAGTGAACCTCCCTCAAGCCAGAAGACCCTTAGTCTTCCCTCCCTGCTCAACTCCTCACAACCTGGAGTTCCCCTTCTCCTTCCTGCCACAACTGCCTTGACCCCCCAAAGAGCAGGACAGGGTCGGGTGGGGGTCCTGGGGTCCAGCAGGAACAGTATTCCTTAGTTTTTCCTCTGTTCCCGGACCTCACAGAAGCCTTCAGGGAGATCTGCCCGGCCGGCCACGGCTATACCTACTCCAGCTCAGACATCCGCCTGTCTGTGAGGAAAGCCGAGGAGGAGGAACTTGCCAGGCCCTCGAAGGAGCAAGAGCAGAAGAGCAATGGGACCCTGCTCCGGCCTGCAGAGAGGCAGCCGCTCCGGGCAGTCACCGACACTTGGCAGGAGGCTGGAGCCACCCCTGAGAAGGGTATCTGGCCTGGAGAGGGGGACCCCTCTCCCCTATGTTACAGTACCTCAGAGAGCTGGGTGCTTTAGGAAAGGGAGTTGGAGCAGCAGCACCCAGCCCTGGGAACCTGTGCTCATGGCCTGGGATGACCTTTCTTGCTGGGGGCAAGAGGTCTCCAATCCCAGAGAATTGTGGAGGTGAGAGGGGTCAACAGCAGCCCAGTTAGTCAGGCCTTTCCAGCCTCTGCCCTGAATGTGCAGTTTGAGCACTGGTGCTGACTGCAAGGCCTGAAGAGCTGGTGGATCCTGGGGAGCTGAGTGTTTTAGGTCCCCTCCCATAGACTTAACCAGATCTTAACTCCAGCTCACTGCCTTGGGCCCCGGACACATGGGGCTCGGAGGGGACTGCACTGGAGGCCCTGGACAGTGCCCTGGGAAGCAAGCAGAAGCCTGTCCAGGTTGTGGGCAATGCTAAGCACAGGAGGCCAAGAATATATTAAGACTGGGTGAACTATGTGTCAACCATCTGTCCATCTGAAACAGACAGAGAACAAAGTCCCAGTTGGCATGGAAACTACATACTAGTCAAGCCAGGAGCCCCTCCTCTCCTTTTAAAACTGTTCTCCTAGCCCAGGGGGGATGGAGTGACCCCGTATGGGTGGAAGGCTTAAGAGGGAAGTGATAGTGCAAGGAGGGGGGTGACAGCTGGAATCCAGGGGCTCTGGAGGGGTGGCCTCCCATTGCTGTGGTCTTAAAGGACAACAGGAGGTTTCCTCTTACCAGACCTGGGGTTCTGGGGTTTATGGTTGCCCACCCCAGCGGGGCAGCAAGGGCTGATGCAGGTAGGAAGTCAGAGCTCGCTCTACTGCTGATCCTGCTTGGCACAAGGTCAGGAGGTTGCTGGCAGACAGAACCAGCCCTGGCCATGGGTGGAAGGCAGGAATAACTCAGACTTTTGCGCTAATGCTCTCACCTTCCTTCCCAGGTAACTCTCAGGCTGGCCAGGTGAGTGAGTCCTCCCAGTAGGGAGTTGGGAAGTGTGACCAAGGGAGGACCTGGGAGCCACTGGGGCTCTCAGACAGTGTCCTGTGAAGGAGGGAAGAGAGAAACATGGTTCTTTGTAAGGCTTTACTTGATGAGATGCCAAAGCCCCAGCTTTACCCTAAAGGGAGTCATAACAACAGCTTTTGGAGCAGCTACTGTGCAAGCATCCTCTTGTGTGGGATGGTCTGAGGGTCCCAGAAAGGAAGTAGGAACACGTCCTATTAATCCTGGCTGTCACTCAAGCTTTAAGCTCTGCGGTTGAGGTCTAGAATTGGTTCCAGATTCATTCTGGGTTCAGCACTGTCTGTACCTTATTTGCCTAAATCTCAACGTCTCCTCTGTGAGTGGCTTACGGGGAAGTGGAGGCACAGCTGTGACCCCTTCTCACACTTTACTGAGAAGGGGTCCACTTCCTTCCCTATGCCCAGGATTCCCCTGTAAAGAACCAAGTGTCCACCAGAAGAGTAAATCTGCTTCTTCTCTTGCTGGTCTACCCTCCCTACCGAGTCCCCGTCCCTCAGACCAGCATACCGGACCGTCCCCCAACACTGCTTTCCTGGTGAACCTGTTCTGTCCCTGGAGAGTCCCGTGTTGCCCTCCAAGACCACATCTTCTGCCCACTCCTCTCCTCCTGGGTCCCCAGTACAGATCTACCTCTGTGGGCCGAGGGAGGGAACCCAGATGTGACCTTGGATCCTCGCTGGCCCAGTGATCCTAGGTAAACCAGTTAACCTCTGGAGGTTCTGTTGCTTTATCTGAGAATGTGGACATCAGCATTGCTGGTAGGGTACTTGCTGGTAGGAGACTGAGCTGGCACACTGCACACGTCGTTTAATCATTAGATCACACCATCCTAGGATAGCTGAGACTAATTAAGACAGGGGACAGAAAGTGTATAGCAGAAGGTCTGGCACGTACAACGAACTCTGCAGTACCTGGAGTGAATGAAAAAGGGAAGGGGTGAGTTGGCCCAGAAGCCTTAAGGGGGAGATGAGTGTGGCAAAAGAAGGCGCATCCCAGGCATGACGAGAGGACCACGAGTGACCCTCTGTTTCCATGCAGGATGAGACCAGTGTTACCCAAGTACCTGCCTGGGCCCCAGGTGAGTACCTCCTCCGAGCAGCTCCCAGGATACACCGCGGGGAGGGAGGGAGAGACCTTAGTCTAGCAGTGGAGTCAATCTGTGAGAGCTGATGACACGTGGGGCTCCAGTGAGGTGAGGTGTGCATGATGTGACCAGCGAGCGCCTTTTCGAGGAGCTCTATGCACTAAGAGGAAGGAAAGTCAGGGAAAGATGGCTTGCATGCATCTTCCTAGTCACAGAGCCCCTTCTGTATTTCCCAGTGCTGCCCAACATGTAAAGGGTACATGGGGGAAACGCTGCCAAGGCAGGGAGGCACTGTGGGATCCCCAGGGCTCTTCTCCACTGTGGCCTGCCCTTCCTTGGCCTCTGTGGACCCCACCTGCCAGTCCCTGGAGCTAGGTACAGGGCACAGTTCAGAAGTCAGAAAGCTGAGCTCAATTTCTTTTACCTATAAAAAGCACACCAGTGCCCGCCCTGCTGCCTCTCAGGGCTGATAAGTTGGTGATGTTCAAGGCAGAGTTCTGTGAACTTACAGCTCTTTGCAAGCAGGAGAGTGGTGACGTGGGAATCAGACCAGGGCTTGGGGTCCATCTCCAACAACTTGCTGGCTGTGGACAAGTGGTCATCCCTGCCAGCCTCAGTCTCCTCATCTGTGGTGGATGAAATGGAGGGTAAGGCTCTAAGACCCAAGAGAGCACTCAGGTCCTGTGACTATCAAATGCAGGAGACTAGAGACAGGAGATGATCCACCCTAGGCTCTACCCCTGGTTCTTGCGGTTGGAGCAGCAGAGAGAAAGAAAGAGTGGCCTGCAATCAGCACCTCTGGGACCAATGTCCAGGCAGGAGGTGGGACCCAGAAGCCATGACCACCTGCTTCCCTCTCCCTCTTGCAGGAAGACCAACACCACGGCTGCCTGCACAGGCAGTTCCAGGGGCCTGGGGAGAAGAGCAAGTGATCCCCCCCACTGATGCACTGGATGCCCTGGGCTCCCCAGGTACCTGCAGCTAGCCCTATGAGCTGCGGCTGTCTAATCCAGCTCCAAGGCCTCCCAGCAGCATGGGGGTGGAGGCAGAATCAAGGCTTAGTGTCCTATCCTCATCTCACAGAGGGGAGCCCCTGCAGAGCACAGGAGCCCTGACTGCAGCATGGGGAGCCCTTAGTGAGCCAGGAAGGAGAAAGTGAAAAGACACTGGGGTCTTGCACCATGCCAAGCTATACATGGATGTGGGAGGCCTGGCTGAGCATGGGAGAAGGCTGCTGGGTGTCCTCGGAAGCCCTGTGCCCTGCCTCTGACACACTCCACTGCCTTCACCCAGCCCCTAGGCTACCATTACCCCTGTTTTGCTCTGTCTCCATAGACATTGACAGATGTGCCACCAACATCTGTGGCCCTGGCACCTGTGTGAACCTCCCAGATGGATACAGATGTGTCTGCAGCCCCGGCTACCGACTGCACCCCAGCCAGGCCTACTGTACAGGTATTCATCCTGGGCTCACTCTGGCTGGGGGCAGAGCCGAGACTCCAGACAGCGGAAGGTCCAGGTGGTTCTGTGTGGTCGACGGGTGTAAGCCGAGCACAGTCCCTGCGGACAAAGCTAACCTTCACCTTGGGGGAGACCAATCTCTGTGATCGACAACCAGAGTTTCCAGGATTCCAGGATAATGGGGAGCCATCCTGGTGCCCCACAACTGTGTCTGGCAGCCGTCAGTTCTGAGATAAGCCCACTCCCCTCAAACTGGCCACCTCGCTGCCTGCAGAGGCCTGCCCTTGTGATTACTGCCTCTACCAGGGCCATCCCTCAGGGGATACATTATCAGATGAGTACCTGATCACGCCCCATCCCCAATATTTTTATACAAGGGAGAAACATCCATGTGACCTTAAAGGACATGGGTGAGGGAGGGAGTACTGGGCAGCCAGCCAGCCGGAGCCCTGGCTACTTGAGTGGACCCAGTGGGCCAATCTCATGTCTCCCAGCCTTACAGACTTTTCATCTCTCTGGCCTCCTCTGTTCCCTCATCCCTCCCTTCTCCACAGCACCACCCCTGTCTGGGGCCTCGTGTAGGCAGGCTGCTGGCAGGCACCCAAAGAAAGGCACTGCTGGCCTCCCTGACTGCTCTCCTTCCCCCCACTCAGATGACAATGAGTGTCTAAGGGACCCCTGTCTGGGAAGAGGACGCTGTGTCAATCGCGTGGGCTCCTACTCCTGCTTCTGCTACCCGGGCTACAGGCTTGCCACCTCGGGGGCCTCGCAGGAATGCCGAGGTAAGCTGAGCCCCTGGGCTGGCACAGACCCCAGAGTCTAGTGTTGAAGTGGAGATGTTCACAACACCCAGCCACCCACTGTGCCTCAGGGTGGGGCCTGTGGGAGTCTTGGGACCTGCCTTGGGAGAAAACCTGAAGGGTGCGAATCTGCAAGACAGCAACATTCACAAAGTCTCCAGGGACCGTGGCTGGAGCCAAGAGTGTGAGGGGACAGGGGGCATGGCTGGAGGTCCCCAAATGCCTAGTGGTGATGAGTTGTTTTCACCCTCATCCGTTGAGGGTGGCCCATGAAGACGCCCACTGAGGATCCTGGCAGATGGGGGAGCAAAACCTTCTTGAGAAGTGGGTGGGTCCTCAGTAGCTTGAACACCTGCGAGGCTTTGTGGATGCTGGTTGAGATGCCTCCAATGCAAACCTTAAATATCCAGCATTTATACTGTTCTACAAAACACTCTGGACATGTTTTTATAAATGAGTTCTCGAAGGTTATGTATGGCCCCACACTTCCAAGCAGTCCCTTGAGATTCACAACCCAGCGGGAATCCGTCACCTGGAGAACACTGCTATTCTAGGGGTCCACGGTGCTGGTTCTGACCGGAACGTCCCAGTGGTCACTTATCAGCCCCTCCTAGCAGCCGTAGAGCTGCCCCCCCCCCCCCGCTTCCAGGGTCCCCTGGAGCCCTAATCCCCCAAGGATCTGGGCTGCAGAGACCAAAGCCACCCAGGTGCTCCCACCTGACCATGGGGAGGAGGGAGAAAGAGGTGAGAAAGCACCTAGTTTAATGGGCGAGTGGGACTATGGTGCGTGCCACTCCTCAGCACCAAAGCACCTATGTGCCAGTGCTGTGTCAGCTCTGGGGACCATGCGATGAGTAAGGCGTGCAAGGAGGCACCAGGGGATCCAAATGAAGAAGCGTCTGTTTCTACTGTAGGGATGTGGGGGGCTTTGAGCTGCGGTGGAATAATAGCCACCACTGGATGAGCACGCATGCTGACGTGGTCCGAAGCACTTCACTCTACGAAGCTCATCACCCCAGTATGCAGTGGAACTCCTTATCCTCATTTTATCGTTTCACAAACTGAGGCTCAGAGAGGTGGAATAAACACCCGGGACCTCACACCTAGCTGTGGCAGAGCTGGAAATGGAATCTAGGTCATTCCAACCCCAAAGCATGGTTTGCTTCCAACAACACTCCCTTACATGCACGGTGACGGGATGCAAGCCAGAGGGCACTCCGGAGAAAGAGAACTGTTTCTGCAGAGAGCAGAGCAGTGAACAAGCCTGGCATGCACTGGGAATAACGATAAATCCAGTGTGGCTGGAGCACGGGTTACGGGGGAGTGGCAGGAGCCAAGGCCAGTCTGTGAAGGGTCTGCGAGCCAGGTTGAAGTGCTTGGACACTGTCCCGTGAGCAGAGGGAGCCAGCAGAAGTCTGCGAGCAGGGGGTGGTGATGCGGTCAGCTGGCTTTCCGGGAGGTGACCAAGGCACCGAGGTTGTAGTGCACAGAATAGCTTAGAGTTAGTGAGGGGAGAGGCTGGGGGCTGGGGAAGTGGCTTCTCCAGGCTTCGTGGCCTTAGCAGGTGCCCTGGGCCAAGGGCACTGCTCTGCAGCCCAGCCCAAGGCACTGCCTGGGACAAGCAATGATGGCTGCAGGGAGTGGGGCTTGCCAGGCCTGACCCAGACAAAGGGTCCTACCATGCCAGCCTGGATGTCCAGGATGTCACTGCCAGTCCCAACAGCTGGGGGGCGAGAGGCAGACACCAGTTCAGCCGTCAGGGCTTTCCCAGGGGGCCTGACTGCCACTTCGTGAGCCCTTATTCAGGATGACGTTCATTTTCCAAATTTTGGCAGTGAAACAACATCTCATTATTTTAATCATTTACTTTTACTTATGAATTATGTCACTGATTGATATAATTAATGTAAACATCACAATTTATAGCACTCAAAATAATGTAAGTATAAATTATTAATTCATATAAAATTATTTGAATACTGAATATTTAAAATAACTGTACTTTAACTACGTAACTGTAGGGTTTCCTTACCTGGAAATTGCTTGTTTATGTCTTTTGCTCAGTTTTCCAACAGCATTCTTTTTTATTGAGGCAACATTTGGTTTACAACACCATATATAACCTAGGGTTATAGGGTCCACCTCTTCAGATGTAATGTTGGTGGCTTTTCTTTTTTTTTTTTTAAAGATTTATTTTATTTATTTATTTATAGAAGCACTGGGTACAGTCAGAAGCGCGGGAGGGTGAGAGGATTCACCAGAGCCAGAGCGGGGAACAGAGCAGGCAAAACGACGAATTACACTGCTGAGGGGAGCAGCAGGCGTGGCAGGAGAGGTCTGCTCACCATGTGGGACCCTTGCCAGCAGCCAGGGATCGAACCTGCACTGCAGAGGCTGCGGGCAGCTTCACAGCCCAGCGCTCAAACACTGAGCCACCAGGGGAGGCTCCTATTGGTGGCTTTTCTTACGAGTTTTTAGGAGTTCCTTATATATTTCAGCTGCTTGGCTGCGTTTAGCGGCTTCCATTTTGTCCTCTGTCTGCTAACTTCCACGTGTCCTTCCTTTAACAGAAATGCTTAATTCTGATATATTGAAGTCCACCTTTTGGCCTTATTTTTAATGCTTTGGGGGCTTTAGTTGAGAAGTCCTTTCCGACCTTAAGTCACAAAGATATTCACCCACACTTTCATTATAGTTTCGCCTTTTAAGGCAAGCATTGATCTGTCTCGGCTCCCTCTTTGTGTGCGTGTTAAGATCCCAGGTTTTTAACTCGACTTCTGTTGCTCTCCATGGAGCAAGTCAGTTTCGCCAGCCTCATCTAGCAGGAGTCCTGGTCCTTCCAGTGTGTGGGTTCATTATCAAGGTCTCGCATATGACTCTACCTCCTAATCCCCTTTTCTTTTCCATTGGGATTGGAGTTTCTCAAAGTAAGGGCCAGTTATTTCAGAATTGCCTGGGGAGTTGCTAGCATGGAGGTTTCTGGGCCGGCCCAGTCCTGCTGGGTCAGAATCACAGGTATAATATTAAAGGGCTTAGCAAAAGGGGAGCACTGAAAAAAATGATAACCAGGTGTGCATTTTATACCCTCTGCCATTGACTCCACTGTGCACTAGAGTTTTATGAAGTACAGTTTGATGGAAACACAGTCCTCAAGCAAAAGGTTACGATTCTATCCATTCAAGAAGCACTTTGGGAGGAGGAAAGGTTCTGTGCCGGACACTGGGGACACTTGGATACTAAGGCACATACTCAGCAATTGGGTAAATGAACAGTTACCATAAGTCTGATCCTAAGAGAACCCCGGGCAGGGGCTTGTGAGGTCAGGGATTAGTGAAGGGAGGCAAGCCGGTGGGTAGGAAGCCACTTCAGGCACCGGAACAGCAGGTGTAGAAGCTGAAAAGCAGGTCTTGTGTGACTGAATTCAGGAGTTATATGGAAGGCAGAAACCAACCAAAGGTGAGAAAAGTAGACCAGATCATAAAAGATCTCACCTGCTAAACTGAGGAGTTTGGACTTTACAAGGTAGACAATGCTACCATAACACAGTGGTTAAGATTTCTTCAGTGTTCCGTTTTTGCTCAGCTCTTTAATCTGCACAAGGACACAGTGCTTGAACCAGTAGTGGGGGTTGGGGGCTAAGGTGAGTCTACCAGTAGTATGACTGTGGAGGCAGGGAGTGGGCAGTGGTTTTAGTGACCAAGAGTCAAGACATGAACTGTCCTTGGAGTGGATTAAGTCTCTCTTTGCTGCCAAGGTGAGCAAAGATATCCCAAACAGAAGCATTTGTGTGAACAAAGGCTTGGCGGTGGGACAGGCAGGGATTACGGGCCACAGGAAGGTTGGGGCCAGGTGGTGAAGCCTTGTGAGCTGCATCAGGGCAGCGGGGAACTCTGATAGGGGTTTAAGCAGGGGAGCAGCATGACCAGGGTTGGGGTTTTATGTCGTGGTGGGAACCAGTTTGCTTTGGGACAATGGGATAAGCCACACGGATAGATCCAGTGCGGCCTGAGGTGCTCTCTGGCTGGCTGCTTCATCCCGAACCTTTAAGAAGTCCCCTCAGACCTCTAAGAGCAGCCCTCAGGGAAATGTGCTGGCAGCAGGAGGACCATGCCATTTAGCTTGCCACCTTGAGACCAGCCCTGAATCGGCATGAGGAGACAGATGTGAGGGGTCTCCATGGGCCTGTAAAGTAGCCTCCCCTCGGAGACAGGAACTCAGGGTTTTGCAGGGATCTGAGCCAGATCATTCTCAATTCAGACTAGGAGCCCTTTTCTCGCTTATCACAGCTGCACACGAATGCCCTCCCCACCTGGGCCTCAGCCTGGCGTCTTTGCCCTAAGCCTCTGAAGCCCTGCCAGGCTGGCCACAGCATGGGGCTTTTTGTGTGTTCACAGACATAGACGAGTGTGAGCAGCCAGGGGTGTGTGTCGGGGGGCGGTGCACCAACACCGAGGGTTCGTACCGCTGTGAGTGTGACCAAGGCTACATCATGGTGAGGACGGGACACTGCCAAGGTAAGGAGTGGGGCCCCGGAGGGCAACCTGCTGCCCCACCATCTCCTTCACCCCACCCCATGCACCAGCTTCCCCAACACGCCTTCTAGCTTGGCCCCAATGTGCCCCAATAAGACCTGTCTGGGAATTATGGAATCCTTTCATCCTCTCAGTGGCATTTCACATCCCATCTGCCCCTGCAGCAGGGGATACAGCAGCTGTGGGTAGCCAGGAGCTGTAGGTAGTCACACTTCTGTGGCAAAGAAGAGTCGGTCTACCTGGGAGCCACTTAGGGCCTCAGTCTTGGGCTCCTTGCCAAAGCTTGTTAGCTGTGAGCTCCTCAGGGCTGGGCCATGTCCTTAGTGCCACTCAGTAAGTGACATGCAGTAAGTACCCATGTTCTAGGCACGCCAAGAATGCTAGTTGAATGAATGAATGAATGAGCCCCAATCCTTGTCTCCTTTCTCAGGACCTGCCAAAAAGTGGAGTGACATTGTTAACTGATCTCCAGGCTGGTTTGAACCTGCTAGCTCCTGGCTGTCCTGTCACTGCCACCTCCCTGCCAGGCTGAGGTGTCTAGTGTTTGCAAGAACCCTGAGTTATGTGCTCCTGAGACTGGCTGAGACTAGCTTAGATGAGGGTAAATCAAGGGTGAATCTCTCTGGAAAGAAATCCTGCCCTGATTAGGCCCAGAATCCTCCCAGCTGCCAGGTTTCCCCTGACAAGTATTCACCTGGTTTCAGAGGGTGGTGAGGTGAGGGATGACTCTGTGCCCTCTGTGAAGGGAGGGCCCTCTTGCCCAAAGTCACTGCCATGGTCTCAGGTCCAGAGTCCTAGAGGGTCTTAGCAGGGAGCTGCCTGGGTATAGGACAGATGACTCGCTCGCTGACCCCCAGCATGTCATATTCCCCTCTCGGTGCTCCCCCTTTAAAATTCAGGCCCACACAAGAGCAAGACCAGAACCCATTCCTTTGTCATCATTAGCATGAAGGAGACAGACAGCCTGGCAATTGCCAGGATAATGGATAATGAAGGGAGTTGGCATATGACAGGTGCCTGCTTGGTGCCAGGTGCTATACTAGGAACATCACTGAAGTGCCACAACAACCTTATGAACTTGACATTAGGACTTGTTGAAAAGAAAAGCAAAACTAAGGGAAATGAACCAAGAATATACCAGAACATTAAAAAGATCAGATTTATACCAGCCAGTCTGTGTAAAAGGCAGAGGCTGTGGTGAAGACAGGCCTGGGTTTGGCTCTTCTCTCGACATCTGAAAAGGGAAACCATAATTCCCATCTTGGAGGCTCTTGTGGGGACTGAATAAGCTAAAGCGTGTGAAGCACACGGTTACTCCACACCCCAGTCTGCTCCGCTGGTTGTCCCCTGCCTTTCCGGAGCAAAGGTTCTAGGCACACACCTCAACCCGGAGGTCAGGCTGAGTTCCTGGCCCAGCGCAGACATGCTGAGCCTGTCGACAGAAAGACTGATGTACCCTGAACGCTTCTGCATATTTCCATTAGCAACCACAGACCCAGCCCATCGCCCTGTGAGCCCAGTCAATTTCCTTGCTCTCTTTCTTCTTTCTCCAACTAAGAAACCACTCTCTTCACTTCAACCCAAAGTCTCTGGTGAGAGGCCTGCGTGGTCTGGACAGCAGCCCACCCAACAGTCCCGATGGCATTTCTGTCATACCAGGATTGGGGTTCCCACAGAGAAATATTGGATGGCCCTGCAGACCACCCAGACCTTGCTCTGTTCCCCACCCCAGCCACAGCCGAACTCACCTGAGCTTCTGGCCCCTGACTGAGCTCCCTCCCCACCCAGTGTGCTCACAAGGACCAAAGGCGGGTGCCCTTACAGCCTCCCGCAAAGGCTGAGGCCCGCTTAGAGAGGCTCCAGGATCTGCCCCGTATCCAGTCAGCAGCCAGCAAGCTGCTCCCTGGCGACTGTTTCCATGACCCTCTGGGGCCTCTTCAACAGCTTCCTAACAAGAGAGTATGACATTTTAGTCACGTGGTCTCATTCTTCAGCGACAAGCATTTGTTGCGGTTGAGTGGTGTCCCCGCCATGGGCTAGAGATAGGGCAATAGACGAGACAGACGGCTCCTGCCTCCAGTGCCAGGTCAAACCTACCCAAACCTACCATAATCTTAGACTAAAACTCAAACCCAAGACAGGGCAGAAAAATCTGACTCCAGTTTAGGTACCAAGTGGCTGGGGGAACAACACAGACTATCTGGTGATGTTTGAGCCTGTGCCCTTAACTCAGACTGGTTAGAAGCGGGATCCACATCATCCAGAGTCATTATCTGGCTCCCTTTGATTGGCTTAGCTAATGGCCCCCTGACCTCCGCTCCCACGAGGGGAGCCCTTTGCCTGGCCCAGGTGGAGACTCAAAACCCCCTGACCCCCCACTTGCTGACGGAACACTCAGGCATGAGCATCCCTGGCCGTGGCTCTAGTTGAGGAAAGAAGCCAGCAGTGATGTGCTGGGATAGACTGTGATATGCTGCGTTAACAAACAGCCCCAATCTTAGTGACTTAGAACACAGCGAGGTGTTTCTCTGACCAATGCCACATGTCCATCATGGCAGAAGTGGGGATCTTATCCCACGTTTCCTCACTCTAAAGCCAGGCAAAAGGAATAGCCAGTATCACAAGTGTGGCCAGTCACCATGGAAGAAAGAGCATCCTCTAGGGCTTCACACAATTAACTCACGCACGTCACATCCACTCAGAGCTCCTCGGCCAGCGCTAGTCCCCTGGCCCCACCCAAGCCCAAGGAACCAGGAGGCACAAGCCCACCATGGCCCAGAAAGTAGAGAGCTGAGATTTAGTGAGTAGCTTTAGTGAGAGCCACAAAGTCTCGTGAACGGCCAGCGTGAGACTCTACGCCTACGCCAGCAGATGCACCTGAGACATTTAGGGTAGGACAGATCTCAGGGTTCTGTGCTCTGGTCGGCCTCCTCCACACACCGCCCTAGCTCTGTGGGAGAGGTCCAAAGAGTTCATTTTTTTCTCAAACAGGGTCTTGAGGAGGATCCTCACCTCCTTTGCTGCATTCCCTTTCTCTTCGTCTCCTGAAGCGGGGATTGCGCATCATTCCCAGTGGCTTTGCCCGTCCTCCCTCTGGCACCTCGGCCAAGGCCAGCAGGCCACACACTGACTGCTCTCTCCTGGGTGGCCAAAGTCGATGGTCCTAGACCCTTCACTGTCTCCTCTGCCTCATTCTCTCCATCTCCACCTTCCCAGAAATGCTTAGACCTGTTCAGCCTGGTGTCACCACAACCCACTTAGGGGCTCCTGCTGTCCCCTTTCCAGAGACGAGCCTTACCTCCGTTTGCCCCAGGTTACCTGAGAGGTCTAGGTGTCTACTTGCAGATACCCAGCTGAGTAAGCACCCGCCCTGTGGGTATGTCTTCCTCTTCTTGACCCAGGGTGAAGTGTGGGACTCGACATGCCCTGGTTCCCTTGGACAAGGGCTTTGATGTGTCCCAGCTTCTCAGGGGAGATTCAGTCTCACCTTCCACTTCAGGGCCCATCCTACTCTGTAACGACAGCTCCTGGCTTTAGTCCCTGTACAGAAGGCCTGTATCCTGACCCTTGGCCCCGCCCTTGCATTTCCTCCATGCAGCTGAGTAGGTCTTTTTCGGGGCACAAGGCCTCTGAATCTGTGTAAGGACAGTTGCCCATTTAGGAAGAGTAAATTTTTGTTTCCTGGAGTTCAGTCAGAAGTGACTGGACCCCCAGGTGCTGGGCTGAGGAGCATGCCTTCCCACAGCTCACTCCTGTGATAGGAGCTCCCTGGGAACTCTCCCGCCTCCTCCAGGGCTTTCTCCAGGCCTGTCTGGTCCCGTCTTCCCCTATTTGTCCAGTGCGCACACTCATCCGCTCTGTTCATGAGTAGATGCCGGGGTACCACCTGATTCTTATATGGAAGAATTTCTCTCCAGCACAGAAGCCTTGTCAGCCTCCATTCTTATTCCATCAGCCTCGGGAACAGGTGGTGACTACATCCAAAATCGAGGGTCATCATCAGTCCTCATTTTCCATGTGCAGGGAAGTCCTTTTTGCCTTGATTGCCCACCTCATGATCTATTCAGGCTCCTCTGGCGACAATCTCACTGGCTGCAATCCCAGTAATTGCCACTTGTAAAGGAACAGCTCATGGGAGCGGGGTGGAGTGTGGGGGCGGGGGTGGACCCAGGGTGGGGGCACTGAAGTCCCTTCCCAAAGGTCCGGCTCACGAAGGGGAGCTCTCTCACCCCACCCCCACAGCTAGAGGGACCACAGCCTCTTGCACCCACCCTGGGAGTTTCCCTCAAATTTTTAAGTTCTTCCAGCTCTGTCTTTTGTCTAGGACAGTGGGTGGGAGGTAGAGTTGGAACACAGGACAATGCTCATTTTTTCCTCGCTTCCATCTGTGTGGAAACTGACATCCCTCTCCCGGCCCAGGGCAGGGTCAAGGATTCGCCTCCCCACAGACCTGCCCATGAGCTGCGGTTCCCAGAGATGACCAAGGGAGGGGCTGTTGTTTTGCAGATATCGACGAATGCCGTCACCCTGGCACCTGTCCGGAAGGGAGATGCGTCAACTCCCCGGGCTCCTACACTTGCCTGGCCTGTGAGGAGGGTTACCGGGGCCAGCGAGGGAGCTGTCTAGGTGAGGGCTGCCTGCCAAGGAAGGCACTGGGGGGCAGTCAGTCTTGGGATCTTAGGCTGAGCCCACACACAGGGAGGGTAAGATGTGGGAGAAGGAAGTAGCTGGGAGGCTGGGTTCCCAGATGACCCTGGGCACAAGGAGGATGTGCTTCTGTTTCCAGTGCTCTGCCCTCTGAATCAGCTAGGGTGGGGGCCCCTTCGGCTTCTTGGCCATATCCATCCAGAAGCTACAGCCCAGAGTGCCAGAAGCTTTTGTGGCTGGATCCTGCTGGGCGAAGAGAGGTGCCAAGTGTCTTAGGCAGAGGCTGGTGGGTGGTGTGAGCCACAGCTGGCTTCCGGGGGCGTGGGGAGGGTCTTCTGCTCGTCTGTGCTCGACAGCAGAGTCTAAACAGCAATGCCTTGATGAACAGTGGGTGTCCTCCCCCTCCAGAGGGAGCCACATGTAGGCTGTAGGAGGAATGTTCTTTCCCTTCAGCCCCCGTACGAAGAAGGGCCCAGGGTTCAGAATGCCAGGAGGGACTGAGTTGTGAATAGATGCTTTGAGGCTCTGGAGAGGGCAGACATTTCCCAGGCCCTGGAGACTCACTTGGCCGCCCAGGCATAGCTGGCCTGTCTGCATTGCCCACTCACCTATTTGTGCTGGTTGTCGGGCTGGGAACCTGGGAGCATACCCGTTTGGTTGGCAGGTAGGAAGCCAGAGGATTTCAGGCCTATTTGTGAATCTAGAGTCTTGGACACTTCGCTGCAGGTGTCTGCCGGTGGGCCAAACTGGCCCCAGACCTGGGAGATTTGGCCCCCTTTTCTAGGATATATACAGGGTGTCCTCTGGTCAACCCACCCTCCTGGATTTCCCTCCCACAGATGTAAATGAGTGTCTGACCCCCGGGGTCTGTGCCCATGGAAGGTGCATCAACCTAGAGGGCTCCTTCAGATGCTCCTGTGAGCAGGGCTATGAGGTCACCTCAGACGGGAAGGGCTGCCAAGGTAAAGATGCTAAAGCACCTTCACAGGCAAATCAGCCAGCTACCCTGCCCCCCGCAAATACTCCTAATCACCCCAGTCCTGCTTCCCTACCCACATCGCTCCACCCTGCCCCTGCCATGTCACCTCTCCCTCCCCCTGCCCACCTGCCAGCCCTGGCACACGTGTCCTGCAGGATCTCACACAGCATTCAATGGCCTGTTTCAGATGTCAACGAGTGCGCCAGCAGGGCCTCGTGCCCCACGGGCCTCTGCCTCAACACTGAGGGCTCTTTTGCCTGTTCAGCCTGTGAGAGCGGGTACTGGGTGAATGAAGATGGCACTGCCTGTGAAGGTAACCCCGAGGGCCACCGAGAATGGAGGCCTTCTCACCTCCCAGAGAGCAGGTGATGCTGACAGTCTTCAGGCGAGGCTAGAGGACCATCCATGAACTTGGCCCCAAGGAGAGCTTCTATTGTCAGAATCCCCAAATCTGGAGATGAGGACAGGAGGAATGGGGAGTCAGAAGCCAGAGGGAAGCTGATGAGAGCTGCCCTGGCGTGTTCTGGAGGTGCTAGGGTTGCCCTACAGAAGGTTCACAGGCGGGGACTGCCCTTCCCTGGGGAGCGGGAAGTGTCCTTACAAGGTTAGAAAAGGTCAGAGGCAGAAGAGGTCCCTCCCTCATCAGGGGGAGGGAGCCCCCCAAAACCCCAGGTCCCCCAGTGACCAGCTGACTATCTGCCCAGACCTGGACGAGTGTGCCTTCCCTGGAGTCTGCCCTTCTCCTCCTGCAGGGACTGTGAGAAGGGCTACCAGCCCAGCGCCCTGGGCCACACCTCCGAAGGGGAGGAGGGCAGAGGGGTGCAGGAGACTTACCCATCATCCTTAGAGAAGGGAGAGACCAGGACACAGCGAGGATTTTTCCAGGCCTGGGGCCTCTCTGTCCACCTCAGATGGGGGGCTGGCTGGGGCCACCAATTCTCAGCCTGCCCCCACAGGAGTCAGAGGGTGACTGCGGAGCAGGTCTAGCGGGCTGATGAGCTGCAGGGTCACAACTCACGTGTGTCAATATCTTCGGCAAAGTTTGTTCCACACGCAGGCTCCGGGGCCTGGTCCCAGACCTGTTTACTCAGCCTCTGTAGGGGAGCTCTGGATCTGTTTTCTAACTAGCTTCCTAGGGTTCTCCATGGAGGTGGGTGCTGGGACCACATTTTGAAAAACACCCATTTGTTCCAAGCAATCTGTCGGCCAAGTTGGAGAACCTTCTAAGGTTCTTTGTATGCTTCTATGGTTTATTTCTCATTTCTTTTCCCACTGCATCTCAGTAAAGTCCAAGCCACCTAGTCATGGCACAGTGGGGCTAGTGTCCCCAAGGTGGGCACTGGAGAGGCTGTCAGAGGCAGGCGGATCATGCTGGACAGGGGCCAGAACCCCATCCTCGAGCCCTCTCCTCCCCCGCCCTTCCCCCCAATTGTTGAAGCCTCCCTCAGCTTCTCTCGGCTGTGATGCTGCAGGGCAGGACCCACTATGGGTGGTCTTAGCCAGGCGGCAGCCCTCCAGAGCCCGGCCTGGGGCTCCTGGCCCCGGTGCTGCATGGGCCACCTTCCTCTGTGGCCCGCAGACATGAACGAGTGCGAAGACCTCCAGAGCCGCTGCCTGGGTGGCGAGTGCAGGAACACGCCCGGCTCCTACCAGTGCCTGTGCCCCCGGGGCTTCCAGCTGGCCAATGGCACCGCGTGTGAGGGTGAGTGTCTCAGGTCTCCCCGCCAGGCACGGCACAGGGGATTGTGCGGGAAGCGGGAGCTGCCTATCTTCTCTCTGCAGATGTGGACGAGTGCAGGGGCGAGGAGTACTGTGCACCCCGCGGAGAGTGCCTCAACAGCCACGGATCCTTCTTCTGTCTCTGTGCACCCGGTTTTGTCAGCGCAGATGGGGGCACCAGCTGCCAGGGTGAGAGGCCAGCAGGGCCATGTCCTCTGGCCAGCAGCAGGGAGAGCTGGAGGCTATGAATATGGACATGAAAGGCTCACTTCCCCACCCAGGGGTGGGGCGGGAAGATGGGCGCTGAGAGCGAGGAGGGAACCAAATGTTGGGAGTCTTTCACCAGGGCCCCGCCGTGATGTGCGCCACACAGGAGCCCTGGACTCATGTCAAGTGCCATTCTTCTCTCCTTGACAGAGCCCCACTCCTGGCCCCTCCCCCCCTCCTGACCGCTGACTCCCCGCTCCGGACTCTCCCTGGGATCTCTCAGCCCTGTCCTACCCTGAACCACTCCCTGACCCTCCTAACAACCGCGCGGGGCCCAAAGGAAGCTGCACAGGGCCCTGGGGACCCACACCTGCGCGGGCTGACTGGCACCCTTATTCTAGATGTGGACGAGTGTGAAGCCACAGACCAGTGTCAGGGAGGGCACTGTGTCAACACCGAGGGCTCCTTCAACTGTCTGTGCAAGACTGGTTTCCAGCCGGCCCCGGAGAGTGGGGAGTGTGTGGGTAAGGGCTTCATGCGCCGGAGGGCGCTGCCCCAGGTCTGCCCACCTGCACCCCTGACCTGTCCCTGGCTCCCTGGGACCAGGAACTGCAGCTTCCTATGGAGCAGAGCACTTTCCGCAGGTTAATCATCCACCGGCTGCATTTATTGAGACTCTGCTGGCTCAGGGCCACCCAAGGATGACAAAATGAAGACCATCCAAGTCCTCGTGCTAGCAGAGCACACAATCTAGTTTCAAAGCCAAATTGATTCCAAAGATACTCTTTAAACACCCATCAGGTTCTGTCTTATGCTAGGACAAATAGTCATGAACAATTTTGAAACTGAGATAGGAAGCTAGCTCTCTGTAATGAACTTCGGTGAAGGTTCTCGATAAAGAGAAATACCAAGTGCTCTGCTGCTCGGGGAAGGGCTGGGGGAAGGGATGGGCACACAGAAGGCTGAGAGCTCAGTGCTTTCCTGGCTTGGAGCTCTTCCTCCTAGACACACCCCTTCTGGGTCAGGGAAAATGGTCCTGAACTGGAGGTTTTGGTAATTTGGAACCCATCAAGGACCCCAGAGGTGGTTTGGGGCATGAGATGATGACCTTGTACTGCCAGAGAGCCGGGGCCAGGGCAGTGACCACTTCTGTCCTCTCTCATGGCGCTGGGGACAGACATTGATGAATGTGAGGACTACGGAGACTCAGTGTGTGGGGCCTGGAGGTGTGAGAACAGCCCTGGCTCCTACCGCTGTGTCCGGGGCTGCCAGCCTGGCTTTCACATGACCCCGACTGGAGACTGCATCGGTGAGCAGGGAGCGAGCAGGGAGGGGAGCCAGCAGCGGGAGGACCCAGAACACCTATTTGTCATGCTCTAGCTAGACACTTCTCTCCCAAGGGCGTGACTTCTACAACTGTTTGAAGTTCATGTATTTTCCATACAGTAGGGCCAAACAAAAATTGAGGAATGTTAATATTAGAGTTTTCTTGTTCTGTTTAGAAGTTGCCTTTCACAGATCTTGGTGTTAATAGACCATTTAAACAAGTGTTGCCAGAAAATAGAGTGAGCAAGAGTGCACCTACACTCCGGGCCCCTGTCTTGCAGACATTGACGAGTGTGCCAATGACACCGTGTGTGGCAGGCACGGCTTCTGCGACAACACGGACGGCTCCTTCCGCTGCCTCTGTGACCAAGGCTTCCGGGCCTCACCCTCGGGCTGGGACTGTGTTGGTGAGAGCCCGCGGGCTGGCCAGGCTCTGAGCCAGGAGAAGGGTCAGGACCTTTATCCCATTTCCACAGATCCTGGATGTCCTGGATAGAAACTGCAGGCCCCTCCTCCTGAGCTGCTCCATAATGGGTCCTCACAGAGTCGACAAGGAGGGGGGATTTCACTTCCACCTGCAGAGGGCCCCGAGGCCAGGTGGTTCCTTCTGCTAGCAGGGAAAGCAAGCACATTAATGAGGTGCCACCCTTAGGGAACTCAGAGTCTCAAGAGACAGGCTGGGAGAATGTCTTTGTCCACTGGGTGACACTTCTCTGCCACCTTTCTCCCCCCTCCCTCTCCCCCCTCTCTGTTCATCTCTGCCCCCTTCCTGCTGATTCATACCCACTTCTGCTCTTCCCCCAAGGCCTAGCCTATTTCTTTTGGGGGGATAGCATAACGGTCTAGCCCCTGGACTGGAGTCAGGAGCAGGGAGTATGGCTGCCTCTTCCCCACCCACGAGCCTGTCCTCACTCCTGGCAGACGTGAATGAGTGCGAGCTCATGCTGGCCGTGTGCGGGGCGGCGCTGTGCGAGAATGTGGAGGGCTCCTTCCTGTGCCTCTGCGCCAGTGACCTGGAGGAGTATGATGCTCAGGAGGGGCGCTGCCGCCCAAGGGTGGCTGGAGGTGAGTGCACCCTGTACCCCACCTGGTCATGCACGACCACAGGGAGCCTGGGCTGGACCTGGGGTAGTGTGGGCAGGGGTGCAGCTTAGGGGTGGAATGTGGAGGGGCAACGAGTTTAGTGTGCAAAACAAGCCGGGGCTTGGTCCAGGCCAGGGAACATCCAGGTGGCTACAGAACTGTGATGACCCCATAGGAGGCTCAGGAAGATGAGGCCCACATGGGGTTGCCCTGTATAGGGTCTTGCAGGGACCCTCAATCTGCCCTTAGAGAGCCCCCCATTCCCTCCCCAAGTGAGAGAAAACTTGAAGTTGCCCTCAGCTCCACTGCCCACTTCTCACTGCACCCGAGAAAGGCTAGGTTCAGCCTCTCAGCCCAGATTGGATGAGGACTTGGCTGGCTTTCTCTGACTTGGGGAAATGAGAGGGGACCCAGGACAAGGAAGGGTAGGAGGGCCAGGGTACACTATAAAGCAGAGGAGTGAGCGGAAGGCTGCCCATATTGTATGCCAGGGACTGGGGCACCCCACTATAGCAGTGAAGGCAGAGCAGTCTACTGGAAAGAGCAGGGGCCTTGGCACCAGAGGAACTAGGCAGACTCCCTGCCTTGCCACTCAATAGCTGTGTGGCTACAAGTCACCTAGCTTCTCTAAGCCTCAGCGGGCACATCTGTTAAATGGAATGGATGATAATACCCAGTTCTTAGGGTCGGCAAGAGTATCGAGTGAGATAACATAGGTGAAAGCGTTTGCACACTGTGACGTGCCGTATAAATGTCAACTTTTGAAAATACATCCAAAGGCTGGAGTGTCCCAGAGGGCCATGACCATACAACATAGGAGGCATCTATCACACACAGGTCAGAGTATCCCCGAGGTCTCGCCAGGGGAGCACCCCCCAGGCCCCATCCGCATGGGATGCTACTCTGGGCAGAACGGCCAGCCGCCCTGCTCCACCCTCCTGGGCCGGAACACCACCCAGGCCGAGTGCTGCTGCACCCAGGGAGCCAGCTGGGGAGACACCTGCGACCCCTGCCCCGCCGAGGACTCAGGTGAGACCCCCAAGGGGGGACCCCAATCCTGTCAGAATCAGCTCTGCTGGGTGACAGTGAAAGGAAGGGGGAAGGGCAGAGCCCTTCTCTCTCTGAGCTGAGGTGCCTCCCTGCACAGTTGAATTCCGCGAGATCTGCCCTAGCGGTAAAGGCTACGTCCCGGTGGAAGGAGCCTGGATGTTCGGACAGACCACCTACACAGGTAACCCCCTCCCGGCCCTCCCCTCACCTCAAAGGGCCCAGCCTAGCCATCCAAGAGCCCCCCCCCCCCCAGGGAAGCGCTGCAGATAGCCCCAGCCTCCCAGTGTGCTTCCATCTTTCCTGGCCCGGGGCTGACTATCTACAAATTTTTAGTGGGAAGTTCTGACCCATGCTCCTCATGGAGGGTCCCTATAACCCCAACTCTGTTCCTCTGCTCCCCTGATGCTGGACCCTCCAGGAACAAGTTCTGATGCCTTAACTAACTCACAATCACAAGGCACAGGGGCAGAGCAGACAGTGTGGTGAAAAAAGGCCAGAAGCAGCTGCTTATCTCCCTGGTACCATTTTGCAGAGCTAAAAACTTGGGGAGCCCAAACCCAGAGTTCAGGTATGAGCCCCTCAGCACCACTGCCCTGGAGCTGGAGAAAGACCAGAACTGGAAGCAGCTTTCCTTAAGTGCCCGCTATGTGCCAGGCTCTATTTTAAGCATCTTACATGGATTAATCTTGTAATCCTCACAACTGCAAGGCTAAGTAGAAGCAGCCACAACTGAGATAGGAAACGGTGCAGCAGGAGAGGCTAAGCAACTTGCCCAAAGTCCCAGCAAGAGGCAGAGCTGGGATTTAAACCCAGCAAGTCTGGCTTTGGAGCCCCAAGTCATCAGTGCTGTCTCCTACTGCTTCTCCCCCTGCCCTCACCTCAGCTCTGCCCTCCCACAGATGCAGACGAGTGTGTGATGTTCGGGCCAGGTCTTTGCCAAAACGGCAGGTGTCTCAACACGGTGCCTGGCTACATCTGTCTGTGCAATCCCGGCTACCACTACGATGCCGCCCACAGGAAGTGTGAGGGTGAGGACACACCGCCCCTCCCCACCCCCCGGGTCCACAGCTGAATGCTCACCCAGCCCTTGCCTGCTGGCCCCATGCTTGCTGGGAGTCCCAGCCGGCAGGTCTGAGGTGAAGGGAGCTCTGGAGCTGTCACAGATTATGCAGACCTATTAGAAAGACAGCCTCAGGGAAGGGCCTTCCAGGCTGGGGCAGGGGAGGGGATGCCGGGACTGTCTTTTCACCATGGGTTATAGGCTAACCCCTTCCATGAAGCGGGTCTGTGAGCAAACCCCCCTGGTGCTGCGCCATGTGCCTCCCATCTTCCTGCCACCACAGATCATGACGAGTGCGAAGACCTGGCCTGTGAGAACGGCGAGTGTGTGAACACGGAAGGCTCTTTCCACTGCTTCTGCAGCCCCCCCCTCACCCTGGACCTCAGCCAGCAGCGCTGCGTGAATGGCACCAGCGGCACGGGTCAGTGGGCTTGGGACAGCCGGGCAGCAGGGACAGTGAACCTGGGCTGGGGCTCATATGCCTCTGCACCCTGTGCCACCAGAGGACCTCCCTGACCATGACATCCACATGGACATCTGCTGGAAAAAAGTCACCAATTATGTGTGCAGCCAACCCCTCCATGGGCGCCGCACCACCTACACGGAATGCTGCTGCCAGGACGGCGAGGCCTGGAGCCAGCAGTGTGCTCTGTGCCCCCCCAGGAGCTCCGGTGAGAGGGGCAGGCTGCCCTCGCCTGCAGGGAAGGGCGATAGCTGCAGAACAGGGCTGGGCCCAGGGTAGGGGATGCCCTCATCTTGGCGGGGTGAAGGAGTAGACGAGCAGAGTAATGGTCCTGTGTTCTGTCCCTGTTGCTTGGAGACCCAGGGGGGCAGGAGTGGGCTGGGGAGAGAAGCACTGCCAGGCCCTCTTGGAGGTCACCTGCCCCAGCATGCTCCCTCCCGGGGCAGTAAGCCGGAAAATAGCATACCAGGAGTTAGCGGCCGGGAGCTGGGCCCAGCTTCTTTTCTCCCTCTTCCCTGACAGAGGTCTATGCTCAGCTGTGCAATGTAGCCCGGATTGAAGCAGAGCGGGAGGCTGGAGTCCATTTCCGGCCAGGGTACGAGTATGGGCCTGGGCCCGACGACCTGCACTATGGCGTCTACGGCCCAGAAGGAGCCCCCTTCTACAACTACCTAGGCCCTGAGGACACCGCCCTTGAGCCACCCTTCCCAAACACAGCCAGTCACCCAGGGGATCGTGCACCAGTCCTGGAGCCACCTCTGCAGCCCTCAGAACTCCAGCCCCACTACGTGGCCAGCCATCCAGGTCTGTGTTGCTACAAAAATGGGGAAGAACTGGGCCCTGGAGCTGTTTCTCCTCCATCCCCTCTACCTGCTGGTCCCTGCCAGCAGGGTGAGGACGGGGAAGGGGAAACTCACACCGAGCCCTCTCATGGGGCACTCAAGGGACAAGTCCAAATGCCTGGGTCAGACCCCAAAACTGCCTGCTGACCTAGCACAGGGGGCACCAACAGAAAGCTTTTAACAAAATACCCTACCACCCGCCATAAGAAAATCAAAACTGCAAAGATACCACCTGCTCAGGAGCCCTGGCATGGTGAAAGCCGTGAATCCAAACCTTCTTGGCCCCTCATTTAAAGCATAGCACAAGCTCCCACTAAAATGGCACATGCTCATTATTTTGAAAGGAATGTTGCCTTTTGTTTTAACACCTTTTGCTCATGCCCACCTCAGGGGTTCAATAGAGGCACCCCTTTGGAGCAGACAGTAAGGGTTCCAGGGTTGAATACAAGGCCACAGCTCCCTTCGACTCCCTCCCACCAGAGCACCAGGCCGGTTTCGAAGGGCTTCAGGCCGAGGAGTGCGGCGTCCTGAATGGCTGTGAGAATGGCCGCTGCGTGCGCGTGCGCGAGGGCTACACCTGCGACTGCTTTGAGGGCTTCCAGCTGGACACGGCGCACATGGCCTGTGTGGGTAAGTTTAGAATCAGGGTGGCCCTGCTGCGCCCTTGGAGAAGTCAGACTGCTCACTGAGGGCTCTGCCAGTCAACTTGGGCAAGTAGGGAAATCCACTGCCGCCCCCTAGTGGGGCTTCCCAGAGCCTGGCCCAGTGGTGAGAAAACTCCAAAGGCCTAATGTGTTTAGAAAGTCCTTTCCAGGGAGGTTCCCAGACACGTTCCCAGCAAGGGTATGGGCACTCTTCAGAGCACATTATGGGCTCATTACCACCTGCTTTATGTCCCTGAACTGCTTAGTTTGGGCAGTCACTTCAGCCTCTGGCCACCATACCTAGGATTCCACTACAGGGCAGGAGCCAGAGCTTAGACCAGATACTTGGGCTCCCCCTATAGCCCTCTCCTTCCCTTCCTCAGATGTGAACGAGTGCGATGACTTGAATGGACCTGCTGTACTCTGTGACAACGGTCAGTGTGAGAACACCGAGGGCTCCTACCGCTGCCATTGCTCCCCAGGTTATGTGGCCGCGACGGGCCCCCCGCACTGTATTGCCAAGGAGTAGCAGTGAGGGGTGAGTGTGAGCAGCTACCTGGAAATGGGTCTGAGTCACAGGCGGGGCCCTATGGATGCCCTCCTGGTTGGGAAGACCCTATGAAGATGTCAGGCAGGATGCCCTGCATCCCAGCTTGCAGTCAGTCTGGCCTGCTTCTCATCTCTCCCAGAATAGGCTCTGGCTGTGAGCTTCTGTCACTGCCTCCATGCCACCATGCCCTGCTTGGCTCAAACACCAAATGCTTTAGTGCTTCAGCCACTGGCCATGAGGCCCGGTCCTCCATCTGCCCTGGCCTTGACATGGATGCTCACGAAAGGATGGCTCTCACCCAGCCCTTCAAGCTATGCAAATGTGCAAGGTCTTTCAGCCTCATACTGCAAACACCCTTTCCATCCATGATCCACATATTATCATCCTGATGATTACACCACTGGGTCAGAGGCTACATCTGATCTGGGATGGTCCTTCTGAATCTGTGAAGCAAAAAAGGATTGGGGAAGTTATCACCACCACTCAGCCAATCTGGTCAGGGCCGGATTCTGCCACATCTCCCTCCTGTAGCCAATTCTGTTGTCCAAGAAAGGGACAGAAGATCCTCCTCATGTCAGAGAAGCAAGACTGATACTAACTTGCCCAATGTAAGAGACATAAATAAAGGGCAACAAGGAGCCTGAGAAAGCAGCAAGAATATGAAAAAATATGGGGAACTGATAAGAAAGAGGGAACCAAGGTATTAGCAAGTCTAAAGAAAATATCCAGTAGATTTGGGTCAATAAACATCTAAAATCTACCCAGCAATAGCTCCTGTACATCACAGCAAGGGGTGTCACCGGACATGTCTGAAGGCCTTTAAGTACTGCTTCTTACAGGAAACAAATCTTTCCTGGACACTCCTTAGATGGGAAGCAGTTTGATGTGCTCAAAAGAAAAGGTTTATTTTCTAGTTGGTGAAATACGGTGCAGTCTTGTTTAAGGAATCCAGATTTCCAATGTTTTTTCTCCTCTTTACTCTGCCCTCTGTCCTTTTCCCCTTCATAAAATGGTTGGCTCATGTCCCTGAGTTTACAAATAGACACTCCAACTTCAGCTAGCTGGGAGTTTAAAACCATGATGGAATAAAGAAATGTAAATCTGGGCTCTTCTGTTCTGGTTTTTATTTCATATTAAATCAATTTCTTTACCACGTTGGCTAAGTACAACTATTCAAGATGAGGCTGTGACAACCCCCTCACCAGCTGTGCTTTTGGTTGTGCCTTTTCCCCATGGAAAAGGGGTCTTTAATCTTTCAAGATAAGGAAAGCTCCACCTTGCAATTCTCTCTTGAATGGCAATGTAAAAGAACAAGAATCCCTGTGACTGGAGAAACGGAAATAAATGCTATTTTCTTGGTTTAATCTGTCTTGTCCTGCCTGCTGTTCTGATTGTCAGCCATCACACAATAACTTAGTGAATGCTTGCTCTGTGCCAGGCACTGTGTTGAGTGTTGTACATAAACTTCATTTAGCCATCCGGTAAACCTACTTTACTGTATTTATTCCCAATTTCTGGATGAGCAAATTGAGACACGCAAAGCGTAAATAATTTGCCCTCAGTTATTATACTAGTTGAGATGCTTTCAGCAGACATAGTGCCTAAACAAGTGAAAATATTGTCACCTTCAAGCATAGTAAAAGTAATGCAAGTTAGTACCCTATTATTTTAATTGTCAGATTGGCAAAGAACAAAAATTTTTTAAGACTCCTAGTTGGTAAGAATCTTGGGAAACAGGCACTCTCATATATAGCTGAATATAAACTGATCCAACTTCTCATGGGGATAATACAGCAATGTCTTTCAAAATTATAAGAAGTACTTAATATTTTATTAACTCCACTTTTAGATTTAACCTTCAGATAAATCCTTACCAAATGTGAAACGACATAGGCAAGCCATCCATTAATATTGCAGCATTATGTGTAATAGCAAAAGATGAGAAATAATTAGTTGCTGAGTCCAGTGAAAGAAAAAAAAGGCAGTTCTATATACCGTGATAGCAAAAACAGATTACGGGGTAAAGGGAGAGGAAGGCTGTACACCAAAGTGTGACATATGCTGCTATCATCTAAGAAAGGGGAGAGAATTGGGTATGTGCTGACCTCATCCTTACCACTCCACCGTACACCCCTATTTCAGAAATTTTCTTTTTTGTGCCTTAAGTGCCCAATGCCCCTCCTCCCAATCCTCACCCTCCTGAGGTATTTCATGCATTTACACATTTTTTTTTTTAAGAATTATTTATTTATACAAGCACTGGGGTACAAGCCAGAGGCGCGGGAGGGTGAGAGGATTCACCAGACAGAGCAGGGAGCAGAACAGACAGAAGGACTAAAATACACTGCTGAGGGGAGCAGCGGGCGAGACAGGAGAGGTCTGCTGCGCCATGTGGGAATCTCCCTGGCCGTCCGGGAATCAAACCCGCACTACAGAGGCTGCAGACAGCTTCACAGAGCTGTGCTCAACCCGCTGCGCCACCGGGGACGCCCCATTTACACATTCTTGTATTAAAAATACACACAGCACACTAGATACACTGTTCTGCACTTGGCTTTTTTTCACTTTGTACTTGCACATTAAGAGCCTTCTCATTCTGTATTCTAACTGCGTACTATCCCACTATATGGACCTAATTTATTGAATCAGTCCCTTACTGATGGACATTTCCATGGTTCCCTACCTTTTGCTATCATAAATAATGCTGTAGTGACTATTCTTGTGCATGTTGTTTCACCTCTTACCTGTGGAGTAAATTTTTAGAAACAGTGGCTTGGCTTGTGGGGAGGGTGACAGGGCGGATGGGGGCAGGATTAGGGCACTTTGCATTGTACTGCCTCTTTGAACTTTGTACCTTATGTATTACCTATTCAAAAAATAAAATATTTTTAAATACAGCTACTGGCCATAGTCTACTTAAATAATCCCTCTCCTTATCTCATTATATATATTTTTCTGACTATATTTTACAATTAAAGTCAGATGAGAATTATTTCAAAACTTCTTAAGACAAACTATCTTTAAGCAGTCCTATGGCACTTCTGTTGAGAAAGAATGGCAAGTGGGGATTTTAAAAGAGAAACTGTGAACATCAATGCACTTAGGAATCTCCTGCTTATAAGACAAACAAGCAAAACCATACTAATGTCGCAGTGAAGTGTCAGGTTCTGCCTGCTATCAGCGAGATGCAATCAGCTCAGGGCCAGAGTTCCAGAAGGGCCACACTATACTATCACACCCAATGCTGCCCACTTCTATATGAGGGATGTTCCAAACAAATGTGGACCCTCCACTGGGATGCTATAAAACAAAAGACCAAAATGGGGCTCAATTCTCAGAAGAAAGCTAAAGAGTATCTTCTTGGATACCTATTTTAGTGGTCCTTTGGAATCTGACTTCTGAACCTGTTTTCTTCTGGTAATCCGTGAACATTCTCACAAAAGCTGTTGAATACACCTATGATTTACATACCGCCAGTCACCATCCAACAGAATAGTGTACGAAAACAAAATCTGAAAAGACACTCTGGACATGGACCAAAGAGGCCCCTTCTTTGAGCCAACAATTTAAAGGTGATTCAAGACTCCCTACCCTTCAAGTCCTCACACTATTATGTTATGCTAAAGCAAAGGTGGGGCATGCCGCCCAGGCACTCACTAGTTAGTTTACACAGAAAATCAGTTCTGCAAGAAACTGGGCCATGATAATGTCCCCTGCAAAGTTACAGGGAAGCAAAAAAATCTTTCAACTGATAATGGAAGGGTATAAAATTTCCCTAAGTGTATTTGCACAGTGAGCAACATTTGTGAAATGTTCTATGAGCTTTTATGGCCTGCCAGGAAGAGGGCATCTGGTCAGACAGACCCTGTAGAGGAGTCTACACCTATTTTAGCATGCTTGTTTACTCCAAACTGCCCCGTGTCCCCTTGATGCTATCATCCCCTGTTTCTATTTCACCCCCCTCCAACAGATCTGTTACCACTTCAGGTTTCCTTGTGAAGCTTAGTGTGAAGACGATCTCTCCCAAATCTACTTGATTCTACACAAAATTCTAATTCTCCCATTAACAATAGGTACTTACATGTAAGTATGCTAAGGGACCCCATTCCTACCAAATTGACCATTGTAATTTAATGATTTATTTATTTGGCAAATAAAGCTACTGTGATTATACTGAATATGATGAGTTGTACAATCACCAAACCAATAACTCACAAACATTCTGAAAGAGTAAGTTCTGTTTTAAATGTGGCAAAATCTTTTGAAGATGAAAGTGATAGGGGCTAGGAAAGCAAGGGAGAGAACCATGCCTGGTACAGGGATGTGCACTTACGTAGCATAGGCCACATACAAACACTATGTGATTAATGTCTTCTTTGAACTAAAAGTCTTGAGAGTCCTATCCCAGTGATGCCTCAAGAAGTGTTAAACATCGACATGCTCAGGAAAACAGGATGTTTTTCCTAGGCCCAGGGAAATAGGATATACTCGGGTCAAGATGACTAAGGAGGCAACAACACTCTGCAGACGAGGCGCCAAGTGCGACAGACTGCTGTGGTGGGAGGTCTGCTTATGGTTAACTGTTCTGCTTAGTTCTCGAGAAAAAGACAAGCTTGAGATGAGATGTTACAATGGTTTTTTGGGGTAAAATACCCCCATTCTCTTAGACAACAAAGTATGTGTTATAGATTCAATTCCTGTCTCTGTTCAGTTGGCTTCCAGCAGTGACAGGTAGCCTGGCCCCAGCATTTTAGTTACAAAAGGACTTAGTATAAAGTATTAGCAGCAACTTTGAGTACGTCACTGATACACATATGCTTCCACAGTATGCTGCTTCTGCATGCTTCTATGGAGATCTGCTCAGGATTCTGAGTGTCCCCTTTTTTCCCCCTTTGCACACACTGTACACACAACAGGTTTGTCTTCTCTAAGTCCCAGGTTTTCCCATATTGAAAATGTAAGTTTCTGTCCCAAATACTCTCTTTTAACTCTGTACTTCCATTTTTTTTAATAGGAAATTTTTTTATGAAATGACCTTAATTTCAATCTCGTCTAGAAAAGGCCAAACCAAGTTTTTGCTGTAACAAACTTTTAATCTCTTGAGCAAGGATGGATTTAACCAATAGTCTTCCACAATCAACTTGGATGTTGCTAGTCACTTGTTGTAGTGGTGGTGTTTGTGTCTTTTAGTTATCTGCCCATGTATCTCTGGTTCCCCGGGCACTATCATATTCATCCCACAGCTATTTCTAGCTCTGTAGCACCTATTTAAGTGCTACACGGGTACTATAAAATTAACTGGAGTTTGTGGCATGAAAAGCATTTCTTTCTGTGACCCTAATGTTGCCAGATTTAACAAATAAAAATACAGGATGCCCATTGAAATTTGAACTCCAGATAAGTAAGCAAATCATTTTTAATAAGTCTCGTGCAATATCTGGTACATTTTTGTACTAAAAACCATTTGTGGTTTATCTGAAATTCAAATTTAACTGGATATTCTACATCTTATCTGGTAAGCAAACGGAAAAGCCTTAAATATCTATTACCTATGCTAACAAAGGGATCAATTCTGCTATGCATGAGACCAGAGACATTTTATACCATAAGTAACATACCCTAAAAAAGATACATGGTCACAGAATCTTGAAAGGTCTATATGAGGATGGAGGCAAGTTTTCAAATGATTCAGTTATCTGTGGAGACTGGTCCAAGCTTTCTCAGTGATGGGCTCTGTGAACCTAACAGACTCATGAGTGTGAGAGGGAAATGTATCTGCCCTAATGAACGAGTAGTGGAGAATGGGCTGATGGAAAATAAGGATAAGTTAACTAACACTTTCAGGAAGAGTGATATGAAACAGGTAACATTTCATTTGTTTGCCTCATCTCTCCTTTCTGGCCTAGTAACAAGTACAAATGATTCAATCTGTAACCCTGGTCCAAAAAACATTAAATAAGGACTTTCTTTAAAATGAAGCTTCTATGCATATGTACAAGCAGCTCTGAAGGCCAGGGAAGCAACTCCAAATTTTGGAATCTTGGAGACTTTACAAAGAATATACTGGCTTTCAACCAGTTACTAAATCTTACAAAACAGCATCTAGAAGTTGTACTTAGAATGGGGGAGGGCATGGGTAGGCAGTGGCATTTAAGTCAGAGTTAAAAGCTTCATATTCTGGGAATAATAGTGGCAAAATACAACACTCTGGATTGAGGAAATAAAATTGAGAGGGACATGATTACAAGGAAACCTCTAGAAGTCTACTAATTTGAGATTCCTCAAATTGGTACAAATGGTGGCAATCACTGTCTAGGTCACTTGTCATGGCATCAAAGTTTGACAGAGAAGGATGACCCACAGGAGCAACCTTGCTGTGCTTGAGGATTGTTCAACACTTGAAATGAGCTTCGGATCAGTTCTTGGCTGAAGTCCACCTGGGCCCCTTTCACGAAGGCCAAGCTATCAGAGTCAACCACCACTCTTGCCCCACCCTGTTCAAATACCCTGAAAAGACAGGAGGGAGGCGTTAATGAATATCATAAACACCAAAAACATGACAACAGCCGAGCCTAGAGATGAGCACCCTCTGCTTTCTGATGTACAGAGGAAGTAAATCACCAAATCACCTCTAACATGGGCTGAGTTTCTTCAAAGCAAAAAAGATTGTGTGGTGAATACTGGGCAATGTTTAGGGATACTGGCTTGGAATGGAGTCCTGCCTGACTCTCTACTGACTACCCTACCTAGGCAGGCCAATTTTCCTCCTATAACTTATTTTCAATCAAGTAAACAAGTCTTCCCCCATGGTATCCCCGATGTGTGAGAAGAGTGGTGCAAGCGTCCTGAGCACACCTTTTAAATTTGGAATAAAAGTGCACCTTAAACTGGAGACACTTTTACCCCTGCCGAACATCTTCCAAGAACCCTCCCCTCTCTCCTTGCCTGTCGTCGGGGTTGATAACTGTATCCAGTGAAAATTTGTATTGGAATCCGGAGCATCCACCTCCCTCCACCTCCAGCCTGAGGAATTCTGACCCTTCGGTGATTTCCAGAAGTCTCTGAAATGCAGGAAGGAATATCTAGAAGTCCGGGCACGGGGAGGAAGAAGGTGGGCGAAGGGCAGGTCCCTGGCCTCCGAGTCCTCCAGCGGGCAACGCGGGCACCGCCGCCCCGCGTGCGGCCTCCTACCTGGACACAGCTCTCCGTAAGGTGGATCTGCCCTTCGCCAGCCTCGGGGCTAGAGGACGACGCTCCCCGGCTCGCCTGAGGTCGCGGGGAAGCCGCAAAGAGCCTGCAGCGCACGGGAGGAGGGTGAACCCGGGAGCATGAGGGGCCTTGGCCAAGCCTACCCGGACAGCCTCGGGTCAAACCTGACGCCCTCCGCCCGGACAGCCTCACGCCAAACCCGCCCCTCCCCCGCGAACCTTAGTTTCCCTTTCGTGCTGGAAGCGCGGAACTTAACACCCTTCCCGAGTGCCCTTCTAGGCATGATACCTGCCCCTCGGCCAGGGGGTGACCGCTCGCAGGGCCGCGGCCGCGAGCGACAGCCCCCGGGCGGCCGCCATCTTGCTCCACAACCCCCGCCCCTGGCGTTGCCCGCGAGCCTCACCCCGCCCGGACCCCGGGAGGCGGGACTCGCGTAAACCCCGCCCTCCGAGCACACTTATTGGGTGAGGCGGGAGACAAAAGGTTTGATTGGCTGGAAATGCTCGCATGGCGGACGAGAGGACGCGCCAACAAAGCCCGGGCGGAGCGCTGAGGCGAGGAGCGGGGCGGGGCGGAGATGGAGCCTCGCGGCGGAGCGGGCCGAAGGGGCGGGGAGAGTGGAGTCTGGGCCGGACCGGGTGTGCCCTGGCTCCCGGGAGCCGGGGTGGGGGGCGGGCGGGGGCGGGGCCCGGCCCTGGTTGCTGGCGCCGGTCGCCTGACTGGACTCCTCCCCGGGCCCGCCCCGCCGAGCCTATCTTGTGACCGCCGCGGCCGCTGCTGCTTCCCCGCGCTTGGGTTCTCCACTGCCGCGATGCGGTTCCTGGTCGCCGCCTTCCTGCTCCTGGCGCTCCTCGCCTCGGCCCTGGCGGAGCCGGTGCGCTTCAAGGACTGCGGTAAGCACCGGGCCCGTCTTAAGTTCCCGCGCCCCGGGAGCCCCCACCCCGCCCCGGCACCCCGCGCTGATACCCCGGCGCTAGGTTGAGCGGGTTCAGCGGGCGGCCGGGCTCAGCCCCGACCCCCTGAAGTGGACTGGGTTGGGGAGAAGGTGCCGACCTAGGTGAAGCCCCACCGCTCACAAGTTTGTCTTCTAGGAACGTTTGAGGTCCCTCGACGTTTCTAGAAGGGAGCCTTTTGCTCCCTTGCAAACTAAAAAGTTTGCAAGGCGGACAATCTAAGCTCCTTGTCCTGTGCGGGCGAGGGGAGCCACTTGTCTTCTTTATATCTTGTTATCTTGAATGACCGCTCCCTTACCTCTCCTTTTCTTTTTAATTGTCCTTTTCTGTTAAGTCAAAAGTCAGTTTTCTTTTTCGTGATTTAGCCTATTAGGGCCTCTCGCACTGTGGGATTTTGTGATTCTGTTTTTCCTCCTATAAAACTCGTGTTTCTACTCGCTGCTTGTGACACATAACCTCCCCTCCCCGCTGTAGTTTGGAACCCTTGTTGAAAAACACAAAGTGGGTAGAAGTTCTAAGTCCGTTCAGTCAGGTTTATAGAATCCACTGTTTCAGCAGAACATTTCTGAAGTGGAGAGGTGTAGGGATCAATAAAAGTGGCATGAAACTGACTTTATAAAAATTTGTAAGCTGGAAGAAAACCTGCAGATCTCTAGTCCAATCACAGAATTCCAGGGGCTACACAGCAGAATAGGGAACAGAAGAAGTTTATTCCTTCTATCCAATGCCCAGATAGTAGTAACTGCTCAATCATTATTTGCTGTAAAAGTAAATGAGGGAATACTCTTTCCCACTCTGACCCAAAATTCATGTTGAGGCAAAAGCAAAGTTAGGGGTTGGGAGATATAATTGATTAAGTAATAAGGAGGCTGACCTGTTAATACTTAACAAAGGCCCTTCCACTGAATTAGGAGTCTGCTACTCAAAAGATGCTATTATTACCTCAAATTACTGTCTTTAATGCCACTGAACTTAAGAGCCAACATCTGGATGAAGATTCTTATCTCATTCCATCATCACAATCTTTTACAGATGAGGAAACTGAGGCCCATAGAATAACTTGTCCAACGTTTCACAGCTAGTTAAGAGGTAGGAAATTAGAGGGTGTTTGTTACCCCCTTTGAATTTCAATGGTAACATTAACATTTAAAAAAAATTAGTGAAAATAATTCTGGGCATTGTTCTACTCACTTGAAAAAAGCAGGTATCCACCAAGATGAAAATGCATACATTGTGCAAAAAAGAAAAATGATGTAAGAAATATATAAAAAATAAATAAATGTTTTAAAAAGAAAGGAAAAAGCAGGTATCCCCCTACAGAGAGGACTTGTTAAGGGAAGGAGGCCTTCACTTGCAGATTTTCAGTTTACTTTCAAATTGGGAAATACAATGTAAAATCTTCAGTGTCCACATCAAAAGGTTTTTGAGTTCCACTCTATACCCTCTTTCCTCTGAGGTGGCATTTCCTCAAGTGAGAAATGGGACCAAACAAATTAGTTTTGCAATTTTTGCAGGTGAAGGTTAAGAATGTTCTATTGACCTTGGAAGCCAAGGACCTCTTCTCGACAACAAAAAGTACTGGATGAAGGACTTTTTAACTCAATTTCTACTAGATCATGTGACTCTTGAAAGGAATGGATAGAAGCAGAATATTGAAAACTTTATCATAAACACTGATTTTTAATAGGTTGTTGATTAAAGTTTCAGATTTTTTTTTTTCCTGCTCATAGAGGATCAAGCAAAGTGGAAGAGAATGCTTAGGGAAGAGAATCTTGAGTGTATAGTTTGAGAACATTGCCATGATGAAGACGCAAGCAGGTATAAGAGACCACTAGCATTCCATACAGACCTAGCTGGAGGTGTGTTGGTCAATATGATGAACTGTTCCCCCCAAGTACAAGTACAGGCTGAGATGCCACGTGCCTCTCCCTGAGCTGCTCACTTCATGTCCTGTGGTACTGAGCTAACCTGGGGCCTGTAAAGCAGAATAAAATATGCTCTCAACTTTATGTGTTCTGCTTTCGAGGCTTAAAGATTCTATCCTATTAGCTGGATCTATAATTTCTATACACAAAATATATTTGAGATGAAAAACCCACCTTGTTTCAAAAGGGAACTTGCTAACCACCAAGGAGCAGCTGTCCTAGAGTAAATGCAAGAATTGAATTATGGTATGATGATAATAGTAATAAACACTTATATAACATTACTGTGTTCCAATACTATCTAAGAGCTGGCTCAGATAGCTCACCTGCCCTACAAGGTGGGTATTACTATCTCCAGAAAGGTTAAGTATACTGTTTTGTCCTGCAGGGAAAAACCAAATATTGAACAAAAACAAGCAATGATGTAAGACAATATTTTTTTTAAAGTATATTGCCTGAGGTTGCACAGTAAGTAGTGGAGCCAGTGAGATTTCAAACTGGGCATCAGGCGCTAGAGACTACCTCTCCATAGTTATGGCGGAGCAGCAGAGCTCAAACTTAACTGCCTTACAGGCATTGTGAACACTTGGATTTGCTCCCATTCAACTGTTTGGTTTCAGGGGCCTGAATGAGCTAATGGGATTTCTAAAGGTGTATACTTAATCAACCTTTTTTGGTCAAGCATGTATTGTGAACAGCAGCACTTTGTCCTTGTTTAGAAAACTGAAACAAACCCAAAAAAGACATAGTCTGGCTCAAAACACACTTATTTTAAAGAACGGGGCTTTCTAAAGTAAGATGTGCATCATCATATTGCAGATGCATGCTTGAAATTGTTCTCTTTGTTAAGGCCATTCAAAGCTTGGAGAGATTTCTGATTTGGAGAGATTTCTGGACAAGCTTGAAAGATGAGGAGGGAGCCTTAGGGGGAGTTTAGGAATAGCAAGTCAGTCCCATAGTCTCAAATTTCCAGTAGCACTGCGACTGGAGCCTCACTTGTTCCAACTGTGCTGCTTTAAAATCCTGTGTTGGATGGACAGGAGTGGGAATGATTTCCCCTGAATAGCTTCCCAGGTACAGGGCAAGGGAGTCGGCTATATTATTTAACAATCTGGTTTAATTCCTCTTTACTCAAATATGAAGTTTTCAGCTCCTTTTAAAGAGAGTATTAGTGCAAAGATGAATAAGCAACAGTGTTATTCCCCAGGGATTTACTTTCCTATTAGATGACTCCTGAGCTAAACCTAGTTCATGAGCTATAAATCAATTTTTGAAACTGCTTAGAAACAACACTGGAAAGTCAGATTAGTTCTGCTTCCTGCATAGGACACGTATTGTTTAGACATACGCAATATTTGCAAGTGTATTACTCCCAGCTTCTAGAAAGAGCCAGGCCAAGTACTTCCAAGGGGAAGCAACCTAGAGCAGGTTGGGTGTTCCTTGATGTCACTGCTACCTGTGGCCATCTTGACTATGTGAACCAGATCTACCTGGAGTGAAGTTTAATTCAGGCCCTTAGCTTGTATCAGAACCATAGAGACCTTAACCTCTGTCCTCTTCTTCATCTCTCTGATTCTTGGGGGGGGAAAAAAACCAACAAGATCCTAATGACTTGGTGAAGATTTGAGGCACTGCTTGTTATTTTTCAAGCCAAACCAGTTCGTGACTCATAAGAAAACCTCTTAGACTTCTTCCTTCAAAGAACATGACAGATAACCAGGGGGAAAAAAAGCAAAAACTGAGAAGTACAGTGGATGTTGTATGGTTTCCATTTCAGGGGTGGTAGGTGGCTCCTCTGTTTGGGGTCATTCCTCTGTTAAGATAGTTGTTCCTCTTAAATTCCATAGTCCATTTAATCAAGAGAGTGGACTTAATGAGACAGTCTAATATCAAAAGCCAGCATATTCTTTAATAGCACTGCTTATTTCTCTAGGATGTCTAGTTGGGGTGAAAGAAAGAAGAGCTTTCAAGAAGATAAAATGCTGGGCCAAGTGTTAACCAGGAGTTTGGGAGAAACTCGGGAGGAGTTTGGGATAAAATCAGGAGGGAAGATGCCACTTCTTCATTTCTGAAAATTACTAAGGATGTGAGGGTTTAACCTCTAGGATGGAAAGAAAATAGTAGTGAGGGTCAAGGTGATGTTGACACAAGAGACCTGAAAAGCTATGGTTGGGTTTGAGCCTGGACCTTTATCAAGAATCTTCCAGTAGTTCTCAGGAATTTCCTTGGCATCTCCTTCCCTTCATTACTGTGGCTATGTATTTCAAGCTTCCTACAAGGTCTACTTACAAAGGCTTCCAAATCAGACCTACCGTTGTGTCCCAGTTCTGCCCTTTCTAGGCACAGCGACATTCGACCTGTCACAGGAATTTTTCTGCTCTACTGTTTTCTTTAAAACAATGATATAAAACCCATTGTTGCAAGGTTTTTCTTCAGATGCCTCGGAGGTACCTACTCAAGGTACAATTTCCACAGGGTCAAAGAGAAATACTCTGGTATTAAAATTCCTAGGGCCTCCCTGGTGGCGCAGCGGTTGATTGCTGGGCTGCAAAGCTGCCCGCAGCCTCTGCAGCGCCGGTTCGATCCCCGGCCACTGGGTGAGGGTCCCACATGGCATGCAGACCTCTCCTGCCGCCCGCTGCTCCCCTCAGCAGTGTACTTCGTCCATCTGCCTGTTCTGCTCCCTGCTCTGGCTCTGGTGAATTCTCTCACCCTCCCGCGCTTCTGACTGTACCCAGTGCTTGTATAAATAAATATTTAAAATAAAATAAAATAAAATTCCTAGAGCCAGGATTATTAAACTGCTTCTGTCTGTTATAAGAGTTAGCAGAGCTTCCAAACAGTAATTAAAAAACCAGCATTTGCTCTTGTAGAACTTGGGTTAGAAAAACGATTTAACTTGTTTCTGACCTGCCTCCTTGGGGTTTCAGCGTCAGGCTCGCCTTCCAGCTGTTTTTGAATTTAAGTGCAGTTTTTCCCATACTGAACAACTTTATCAAATTTATGTGCTTATCTATTTGCTATGAAATAAAAAGGGAAACGGATATTTTAATTAAGAGGGAGTTTGAGGCAAACATTTTCAAGTTTAAATTTGAACTGTGATCCTTTATCACTAAGAATGAAAAGCAGCTTCCCAAGGTCTCTGGCTATTATTTACTATGAAAAATATTAAATTTTTCCTGGTTAAAACCCGATTTGCCCCTTTTCACTTGATTTAATGGATATGATTTTAACTGTAAAATGAGTCCTGATTCTGACCTTTAATTGGGCATTCTCTTATTAAATATTCCGTCCCAAGAAAGCTGTCAGGGGAGAACAAGCTCATTGTAATTGGGAAAAGGAGAGCACCTTCCCTTTGCAGAAGCCTGCATGGTTTGTTTTCCCTCCTATTCCATTCATTTCTCTTCTTTTGCAGGTTCTGAGGTTGGAGTTATAAAGGAATTAAATGTGATTCCATGCCCTGTTCAGCCTTGCAAACTGCACAAAGGACAATCGTATAGTGTCAATGCTACCTTCACCAGCAGTGAGTAAAAGTGGCTCTAACCTTCAGATTCATCCTAAAGCTTATCAGCCTCACATGTTGGAATGAGCATGCAGATGTAGGGTAGGGGAATGGCAGGAATTCTGTGATCTCCCTTCCAATCTCTGCAAAGCTAGATCTCTGTGCCCTTAGACATCCTTCTTATACTGAGTTCCCATATGACTATTTCCCTGAATCTAAGCTTCCAGACGCCCTTTAAGCAAACAGGGAGATTTGTTTGTGTTCACAGGTTTTTCGGTCTAGAAACCCATGGCTTTTTTCCATATTGGTCCATATTGCATGGCAGGCATTTTAGGGGAATGTTAGTTCTTTTAAACAACAGACTACAATTTTAGTATAGACTCCAATTCTGTAGACTCTGGAATTTCTCCAGAATGCTTTTGCAAACAGTGTATCTTCCAGCTATTGACTCTTTGCCCTGCCTAAAAATAAAGGTGCAATTAATATTTAACAGACCGAATTTTAGGGACCCAAGTATTTTGTGGTCCCAAGAAACAATCAGTAAACTCCTAACTCTGGTTGTCCTAATGTTACCATCTTCATTCTTCCTGCCTATCGCGTGATATGGAGGGCAGAGGTTAGCAAGAAAGGCACTTCCTTATAATCTGCTGTTGGCTATTGTTACAGCCATGACATTTTCCCAGAAACGCCTTTCACATTGTCTTCCCTTTTATCCTTAATTTGGAATCCCTTGGGCATGGTATATGAGAATTCACGCACCAGTCTCAAACTTCACAAGATACGCAATGATGTAGAAGCTGATGTAGAGAGTAAATAGAAGATTCCTGTTCAAAGTTACTTACCTTGCTGGATAAGGTTATCTGTCCAGGTAGCTCTGATTCTCCTAAGAAACTACGAAAGATGGTGAAAAACGGGGTGATTAGGAGCAGTGTAAACAACCACTGCTGATTGCTTTCTTCCTAGGCTCCTTTAGTGATTTTTTTCAAGTCTTGGAGTGAATGCTTATTCTATAGCATGCATGGAGGCACTAAACATGACAACAAAGAGAACTAGACCATAGAAATTAGAGGTACAGACTTTATGCGTTGCTATCATAGTGCAGTTGCTTGAGTATATATCTGAATTTTTCATTTAGAGTTTGGAAATAAGCTATTTCCTTCACTACCTGTGTTTCCCCCCCCCTTAGCTACTCAGTCTCAAACCAGCGTGGCTGTGGTACATGGCATCGTGTTGGGCGTCCCAATTCCCTATACCATTCCTGAGTCCGATGGTTGTAAGTGTGGAATCAACTGTCCCATCGAAAAGGGCAAGACCTACAGCTACGTGAATAAACTACCAGTGAAGAGTGAATACCCCTCTGTAAGTGACATTGTTGTTGAGGACTCTGGAGTCCTGTGACTAGATTAGACATCTGAGGAGAGGGGACAAGAAACTAAGATTGGAGTTGGAGTCCATCTGTATGATGAAGAAGCAAAAGCCTGAGGTAGAGGAGATAAGTTTGAGTGTTAGGAATCATAAGATTAGGACAGTGTATTTCATTGTGTCCTGATGTTCTCTGTCTTTAGCTTAATGGTGACTGGGGTCTCCTGGTGCTGTTTTTTTATATCCGGTGCAGTCATGTACCGCATAATGATGTTTCAGTCAACAGCAGACCAGATATAGGACAGCAGCCCAAATTCCTATTGATAAGTGACAGCATAGCCTTCCTAAGGTTTAGCATTTTACATGCCTCTTGTGGTCATTGCATCTCTTGGTAGTATCATTTATTTCCCCTTGTTCTTGATTGAATCTTGTATTTTGTCATTGTGGCCCTAAGTGTACAAAAGCCACTGCTAAAGCTGCCGGTAAGAGGCTACCTCCAGTAATTGACCTGGAAATGAAATTATAAGTGATTGAGGACTGTAAAAGGGGAAAATCAGTGGCGGTTATTGCTCATCAGTCAGGCATGTCCCATTCCACATTGCTACCATATTGAAGAACAAAGTGATGGAAACTGTTTAAGGATCTATTTCATTGAAGGCAATGAGATTAACAAAAACTAAATCAGACCTAAATCAGATATGGAGGAACTTCTAATGACCTGGATGGAAAACCAGACACAGAGGTGTGTCCTTCTCAGCCCTGTGATGATCACAGTCAAAGCAAAACATGTGTGATATTGAAAAAGAGTGGGCACAACTGTGATGTTGAATTTACTGCTAGCTCTGGTGGTTTAGATGATGCAAGAAAAGTGGAAAAGTTACCTATGCTGTGGAGCTAGCAAACTACTACTCTCTTGTTGAGAGCGTACATAAAGTGAAAGGCAGGTGAGTCTGCAAGTGTTGGTGTAAAGGCAACTGAAAATTTTTTGGAAACTCTGGATAAGCTGACTGTGGAGGAAATTTACTTGCCAGAGCAAATCTTCAATATGAATGAAAGTTACCTATTCTGGAAATGATGCCTAAAAGGACTTTCAGCCATAAGGAGTCAAGTCAATGCCAGACCTCAAAGTTGGTAAGCACAGTAGTAGTCTTGCTTGAGGGCAGTTTTGCAAACCGCAAATTAAAACCCTCTGTGGCTAGCACAGTGAGAACTGCAAGGCCCTCAAGCATATCAATAAGCACACACTGCCAACCTACGTGCGCACACGACAGCAGAATCACTGAACAGCTCATTTCTCACAATGAATCTCCATTGTTAAGCAAGGCATTACTGTGTTTCACTTGATTCTCATGACTGCCTTTTGTAGAGGTGATGTTAGCCCTATCTTACAAATAAGGAATTGGAGCCTCCATGTTCTGCACTGTGAACAAAGTACACTCCACTAAAAAATATTGTAGCCCGGATTTAAAACCAGATCTTGTCATTCCAAAACCTGTGCAATGTTGAAATATTTTAGCTGGGCATCAAGTCGTTCAAGATTTCAAGTTGTCATAGCATTGTCGTCGGAAAATTCCAAGTTTCCATTAGACTCTTAACAAGAGAGCAGTATTTTGCTAGCTCCACAGTGTGGGTAACTTTTCCACTTTTCTTTTTCCTCTCCACACTCCCCCAACCTCCACCTTCTCCTCTGACCCCTCTGCTATACCTACTCTTTCCACCAAAAACTTGTGAGATAGAGCCTTTAAATGTTGCATCATGAACAAACATTTAAGTATGAAAGAGAGGAGTAACTAAAAACCTAATGTCCACTTAAGAAAGGATTGGCAAAGTGTCAGTGATTTATTAAGACTTAGCAGGGACAGGTCATAATATGAGTGTAACAAGTTAAGGCAGAGATCGCTAATTAAGTATATATTTTTTTTAAGTATAACAAAATTAACTAAAACTATTACTAAAAACAGTTATTGTTCCTGAAATTTATATAGTGGTGAACTTCTTTAGCTATCCTTTTAGCTATGACATTTCGATTACTAGCTAACAGGTAAGTTTCCTTCCACCTAAGAACCTATCTTTTATTTTTGCTCTCTTCAAGGTTACAGTTAGAAAAGACTGAGTCAGATTGCCAGATACAGGAGAAATTGTTTAAATATAAAATTATCTTCATATAAAGCTTCATTTATGTATCATGGATAAAAAGGGGAAAGAATGCTTTAGAAATTTGTCTAGTTGACTAGGTTAGTGTGTGGTTCTGCTAATACCAAATCACAGGTGTAACTTGATTCAATTTTCTAAGTTAAGGGCACAGGCTATGCCCTCATCCCAAGCAGCCATTATGGTGGCATCATTTAAGAAGAAAAGTATCAGGAGTTAGGTAGTTTGTTAGAGTTTCTATCTAGGATTCATAGTTAAATCAATTCCTGTTGAGGTGAGGGTCTAGTTTCATTTTTTTTTTTTCTTTCTTTCTTTTTTTTTTTTTTTCTTTTTCCAGATGAAACTGGTGGTGAAATGGGAACTTCGGGATGACGGTGGCCATCATCTCTTCTGCTGGGAAATCCCAGTCGAGATTGAAAGCTAGAACTATCTGATGCCAATATGTCTATCTGGGGTGAGAGTACAAGTAGAGGGAGAGGAGAGATATCTAAAGTCTAAGTCAGTGCCATAAGAGTAAAGGAATTTCTAGACTGCTGTTCTGTGCCCCTCAACCTCCAAAAGTATCTAAGACCCTGTTTCTTAAGAGCTCAGAACCATTGCCCTTGTAACAGCCTTTATAAAGGGGTTGAAGGAAAGAAGAAAGTGAGACTAAGGACTGATTTAATTGTCCTCTGGTTTTTGCTGTTTGAATCGGGAGGGTCTAACCAGACAGGACCTGAATGATGCTGCCGAGGTACACTGCATAACTGCCCTAGGCTTGTGGCCCTTGCAGCAGAGGCGGGTTCCAAGCCACATCCGTCCAGCGGGGATAGTACATCTGCTAGCTCCTTACTCTAAGTGCCTCATTGAGTTCAGCGTGTCTGGCCCACAAGCCTGCTGACACCTGAAAGCACCTCCGACTCCACTCCTTCAGCAAGGAACTGCAGTGAGCTCCAGCGTCTCAGCGGAGGGGAGGTGTACCTGACAGAAGTTCACCTCTGGATGCCTGGTTCTCTGTGGTTGTCTCCTGTCTCCTTTTTGTGTTAAGGGTTTTTCATTAAATGCAGCACATGGTTAGCAGATGCTTGATTCTTTTTTTTTTTAATTTGACAACATTCACTTGTGACCTCTTCATGCACCTGGAAATGTCCCTTTGAATAAATAAAAACTTAGCAGCTGTGGTTACCTGCTTCTTCAGACAGAATATGTCCCCCCTCAATCCATGGAAGGTGGACACCGAGCCCAGTGGTCCCTAGTGTGAAGTAAAGACGTGGCTCAGAAACTGTCCTCCCCTTTTTGCCAAGTTAGAGCTTACCTATTTTACATAAAATAAACTTGTTTTTCAGTCTCATACTATCAAGCATGCTTGAGAGAAACAGTGAAAGCACACGTTACCTAGTTGAGTAACAGAATCTGAAAGGGCAAGAGTACTGAATTTAGGGGAGGGGGGTGTAAAGATTATAAGTTGGCATTGAAGGGTAGTGTTTTTTTCCCAGAACCCTCTGCCATGATGAAAGCCTAGAAGCTTAAAGATGAAATGTGAACCTGTAGCAAGTAAGGACTAAAATTTTAAATCCTGGGGTTTCCTATTCCTGAAGTACAAGTATCATCATGGGGCATGTCTGTTGCTGTCTCTTTGGAATCAGTGTACTATTGATCAGCTTTTATCTCACGGGGATTACAAAACTGTCCACAGATGAGTTGGGAAATGTGGAACTTGGAAACCCATCTGTTTTAGGTTGAGGTGCTCTCGCACCAAATGAGTTCTTTTCACCCCAAATAACTTCACTAGACCCTTGGATTTTTTTGACTTGTGTTTCCCAGGAAAACCACCAGAGGACAGCAATAGATCAGGAATAAAGTGATCAATAGCCAAGATTGTTAATTCCAGGAGCCATTCAAGCACTGTACTCTTTGGCTAAGATCTTTTGTGATCCTACCACATTGCCTGTAAAGGGACAGCAACCTGCATCCCCATGCTGAATCCTTGTGTGAATTCCAAAGGTGGTTAGCTGCTGTAGCTGGATCCTGACTTCACTTATTACTAGAACTACCAGTTTGATCTTTAAATCCCAGAGCCTCTCTGTGCTTCCATTTCTTTATTAAATAGGGATAAGAGCAGTAAGGCTGTGAGGACTAAATGAGATGATCGTGTAAAAGACTTAGTCCACACAGGAAATCTTAGCTATTCTTGTAGGAGACACATTGTTTCTTGTCTAGAAATAGGAAAATCAGAAGATTTAATCCCATAATGTGAGGAATGTGAGGCTATCCTCTGCAGGGAAATTTTTGAGGTACCTGGAAAAGCTCATTTCTCATGCATCGACTCTCCTATTCCCTCATGTCCTTGAGTCCCTTTATGGCTAACGGCTACCCACCCTGCATTTCATCTTCCGACCCTCATATGTTAAAAGAAGACAGCAAAGAAAAGCACTTCAGCTGGTGTGTACCCTTCAGTCAGAGCAGAAGGGCAAAGCAACAGCTTATAACTGTTTACCAGCCATTGTGAGGCTCCGCAGAGCCTGCAGCAGTAAGCTAGGTAGGGTTCCTGTGGGGGGATTAGTTTGAAAGGTCGTCTTTTGTACAGATAGTTCACAGGCGCCCCCCGAGTCATTAAAACATTGGGAAGCACTGAATCTTAGGCTATATAAAAAAGGTCATGCTCTTTCCAAGGATAGTCTCATACTTTTCTAGTCCACTGAGCAAGACACAGAGGCTTAGATGCAGCTCCTCTCTTGCATGAATTCCAGGGCAGAAAAATCTCAGATTCCCATTGTTAAGAAAATATGAAGGGCCACCTCTGCTTACAGAATAAAGGAACCATACCCCATATCTCCAATTTGGGAAACTGTTAGATGGGAGGTATGATGTTTGTCATCTCTTCAGGCTAATGAAAAGCAATAAGCATTGAATACTTTCCAGTCCTCTATCTTTGATTTTGAATTTTTAGTGGAATTTATTTAAAGACACAGATTGACCTTAATTCTGCTTTGTGAAGGTTAATAAAATAGTCTGTTCTCGGGCCTCCCCGGTGGCGCAGCGGTTGAGCGCTGGGTTGCGAAGCTGCCCGCAGCCTCTGCAGCGCTGGTTCAATCCCCGGCTGCTCCCCGGCCACAGGAGGAGGGTCCCACATGGTGCGCAGACCTCTCCTGCCGCCCGCTGCTCCCCTCAGCAGTGTACTTCGGTCCTTCTGCCTGCCCTGCTCCCCACTCTGGCTCTGGTGAATTCTCTCACCCTCCCGTGCTTCTGACTGTACCCAGTGCTTGTATAAATAAATAAATAAATCTTTAAAAAAAAAAAAAAAAATAGTCTGTTCTCTGAGAACACTCACAGTCTTAGGGAGGGTGGCTTGACATAGGTGGTGTCCTTGACACAGGTGAGGCCCACGCTAAGGGAAGATCATCTGGGATTAGCCATTCATGTCAAGTAATCCAAAAGCCAAATAATACTGAAATAACTGGGTTGGTGTGATAGATGCCAAGGAAGGTATACAGGAAGAGCAGTGACTCAGAGGAAAGAATGATGTGTGAGAACGATGACAGTCACCTTGAATAAGTGTTTTTCCTGAGGAAACAACAGTGAATAGAGTTTGGGAGATTTAAAGACCTGAGATATTCAGTTGAGAGGGGTGTGTGTGACCTGAGGTAGGAAGTAGCACTGGATCTCCACAGATGTGGCCTAAAAGAATCTTTAGAGGAGTTGGGTCATTTTGGGTGACTGTCTTTTTCAATGAAGAGAATCCCCTGGCCTATCTCTCAGATTCTAAACTGAATCCTATTCACTTAAAGCTGTCAGTTGACTAACAACTAAATGGTCTGGGTGTTGGTTGCCATGGAAACAGCTAAAAGGCCCATTGCCATGGGAACCTACCATGCTCTCCAAACCAGCGGTTTGGTTCCTAAAAAGGAGTAGTGTGGCACGTGGCGGCTAGAGTCCAGGAGCGGCCTACCTAGGTGGCTTGAGGGTCCTAAAAGGGGATGAGCAGTGGGAGTGAGCAGGCCTGGCTAGCTCCTCTTGACTGCAAAAGGAGACCAGTGACTTCTCTATCTTCTGCAGACATCGCACCTGCTCTCTGTTCATTGCCCCATGGGAGCCCAGAGGACAGATGTTTGCTCTCCCTAATGGAGAGGAAGGGCATAAGATCGCAAGGCAGACGTAGTATATCTGCTGTGCTGCTCCTCTCAGCTGCAGGGCACCCAAAAGGGAAAGTCTCAGTTCCTCACTGCATGGCAGGTGGTTCTCCACAAACCATGTGTCCCAGATAAGCAGCCAGCAGTTGAAAGGATCAGCTTAGCTCTGACTGCCAATGGGTCAGGTTAATAAGGAGCCTGGTAGACAAGATGGATGGCTGCTGGCCTCGAACATGGCAGAGACACTGGGGGTTCCAGGAGAGGAATCAGGACAGGCCAGCCACAGCTGTCTCTCCTCAGCATTAGAGAAATGTATTAGTCTGCTCTCGACCCCTACTCTGCCCACAAAAGATGGGACAGCAGATGGAGCAGAACATTAAAGACAAGATTTGATGGAGATTCTCAGTGGATGCACATAACAGTTTCTGGATTTTGCAGTTGAGGAAAATAACTCAGTATAGTGATAAGATGACCTTTCATTCAAACAAAAGAACACCTCCAAGTGCCTCTGGCATTATCCAGTATAAATGGGTAAAGTATACATGGAAGGACTTGGGCTAGATAATCCCTCAATTCTCTACCAGAACTAACTTTTGTTACACTTCATTATCACACTGACGGGAAATTTCATCACCACAGCATCCAGATGCAGACCAATCATCTGATGAGAGTGAGGAAAATCCCTGGAGTCCAGGGGGGCTGAGGACTGAGAATAAGACCAAGACATTTGAAGCAGAGACCATCTCAGACATTTTTGGTCCAGGAGAATTCCACCTGATACTCCAAAATTCTGAGGTGTGTGGTTTTGGCTTTTCTCTCCTAATGTTGCTTCCTACTGCCTGGAATTGTTGGTCCCAACCCCACCCAGGAAGCTTTAGCACCTAGGCTCCTGACACCAGAGAGTGATGGCACTGAGAATCTGGACTGCTGCACAGGAGAACTAAACACTGCCCCTGGCTCTGTAGGGAGGTTATCACTTTTAGGACATTGTACTTGTTTTTAGGTTTCTATAGCCTTTAACATTTTATTTTTATAAAGATTTATTTTATTTATACAAGAGCTGGGGTACAGGCCAGAGGCGTGGGAGGGTGAGAGGATTCACCAGAGACAGAGCGGGGAGCAGAACAGCCAGACGGACTAAAAGCACTGCTGAGGGGAGCAGCGGGTGAGACAGGAGAGGTCTGCCACCCTATATGGGAATCTCCCTGGCCGGCCAGGAATCGAACCCACCCTGCGGAGGCTGCGGACAGCTTCACAACGCTGTGCTTAACCTGCTGCGCTACTGGGGAGGCCCACCTTTAACATTTTATATCCAAATTGGGTTTCTCTTCCATCTCCAACTCTTTCTAGTTGATCAACTTTAGATATGTAACTGCTTAAGACAACTTCCTCAACTGTAAAACAGGACAATAAGAATGCCCAGTACCTGGGGGTGGCTCTAATGATGACCTGTGGCATGTCCAAAAGTTCCCAGGGCAGCCTCCTGGCTCTAACGAGGACCTGGTGATCATTCTCACCCTAGATATGGAAGAAAAATTGCAGCCATGGAACTCGTTTGATGGCCTGGAATGGTAGGCATCTGCCGTGATTTGTTTTCCAAATTTAATTCCAGATGCCATTCAGCTGCCAGCCACCGATGGCTTGCCTTCATAAAGATGGCTCGTTCCTCTTTAGGACCCTCAGCCTCATCCTTTTCAAGTACAATCTCTGTGTGTCTGCTGACCTTCCTGCAAAACTGGAAACATCTTGAGAGCAGAGATGCCCTTTCTCCTTTAAGTAAGTGCCTAGATCTCAGCACTCAGCAGTTGTTTCATGAATTTTTTTTAAAACCCTGAACCCTGGAGCAGACCTTATCTCCAAAGGAGTGAGAAGAGTAACAACAGTTGATTTTGGTTACATTCATTCTCCTGAGGGGCACCGTGATGCCCTATCTGGGGTGGGTAGCTCACATCTTAGAAAAGCCAGCTGTCGTCTGTGTCCAGGACTCATTGACAGCACTGGCTTGTCTTCAGCCTACAGGCTTCTTGGCCCTGCTGGGCTCCTAAAGAAATGGCTCCCCCTCCCCTCCTGGCTGCTGTCTGTCTTCACTTCAGGTCAGCAAGTCTCCCGCCTGCCCCCAGCTGCTCCTGTCTGGGCCACGATGATGGCTCTGTAGCTGCATGTTGTATCTCAGAGGGAGAGAGAAAGCAAGCGTGGCTTACCCAACTCTCTCCCCCTTCTGGTATGCTGCATACCTCTTGGGTCTACTGAAGCTCTGCAGCCCCCAGCAAATGCCCCCCTCATGGTTGTCTTCCCACCAGAGCAGGCCAGTGCTTGACTCAGCAGGAACAAGGCCCAAAGAGCTATCCAGAGCCATCCTGGACTACGGCTGGTCACAACCCTCTCTTTGCAAGGCGGGTATAGGGGAAGCTCTGAGGAGGGGCTGAGGCAGTAGGAGAAAAGCCTGTAGGCCTGCCTGATTTGCCACATGGCCTTGGGTGAATCATTTAACCTCTTAGTGAAAAACCTCATTAAAGTATTCTATGGACAAAAGGAAAGGATGGATGTGTACGTGTCGCTTGGAAATACAAAGGTGACTCCTACTCTGAATATTAATATCCTAGGTTAGTGGAGAAGACTGTCAATTCAGTCTTTGGATTTTCCTGCTTAGTTCCCGTTGACTTGATGAGCTGGATATAATCGCAGAAAAATCCCACAAGAAAAACAAGGTCCTGGTTTTGATCACTCTAAGCACAAGTTTAGGCTTTGGCCATCAAACAGATGTCTATACAGCTGACTCTTCTGTCAGCTTGCTATTCATCCTGAGGGTGTAGATGGCTTAGGTTGCTGCTCACTTCTGTCATCCTGATTGCCATCAGACTAGATGGATCTGCAGGGACAGGACAGCGTGTTCCTCTACAATCACTAGGTATTGAACATTTATTTTGTGCCATACACTGTGCCAGGCCCTGGGGATGAAATAATGGTTAAAGCAAGGCCCCTGCTTTCAGGGAGCTCAGAGTCTAGTGAGGGACACAAGCTGCAAACATTACTGCCTAACAGGGGGACAGTGCCCTGGCCATTGCATGTGTGGAATGCCATGGCAACCAGAGGAAGAGCACGGTGAGCCCTTTGCTTTGGAAGACGCAGGGTCAGGTCAGGGGCCTGTGCAGGGAGCATGGCTGGAAATGGAGATGTCTGATACTGCCCGAATCTTTATTCATCCATCATTTATGCTTTCAGTCACTCAGCAAATGGCCCTGCCCATTATATTCTGAGGTCTTTTAGAGTATTTAATAGAGATTTACTTCCCTCTGAGCTGCCAGTCTTGGTGAATTTGTTTTTACTCAGAGTTCCTCCTACTTAATTTACTCTGAAACTAAGTAAGCATATTTGGTTATGTCTTGTCTATGCATTCATGATACAGATACATGTATATATATAATCTCTGGCTAAAATTATCTCTTTGGATTTAGAATCCTGGCCTCACCTACCCAGCTCATCTGACCCACTTCTCTTTTCTCTGTCTGTGCTCCAGCCACACTGGTTTCCTTTCAGTTGCTCAAATTGGCTGAGCTTCCCGCCCCTAGCCACAGGACTCTTACGCATGCTATCCCTTCTGCTGGTCTGCTCCCCCTCGCTTACTTAGCGCTCGCTTAATAACTCTTACTCATCCTCCACAGTTTTGCTGGCATGTCTCTTCCTCAATGAAGCTTTCCCTGACCACCTCTCCCAGATCAGATCAAACACTTGGCTATACGTCTCAAAATTTCATATGATTATAAAAATTCATGGGATATCAATGCTGTGATTTTAATGATAGTTCAGTAGAAGAGTTGGAGAAGCATTAATACCCCCAAGTCCTATATTGCAAAGGATTCTGTATGGATTGAACTTTTGTAAAATAATAGTGGAAAATAAG